GAGAGTGGTCTTGCGCCCCCGTCAGGGGGCGGTGGTAGCGGCGGTGGTGGTAAGAAGAGGAATAAGAAAAAGAAGAAGGGCGGCGCGTCCACCGCGGCTACCGCAGTAGAGCCCGCCCCGAGCGAGGCGTCAACAACCGATCAACGGCCCGCATCGCCGGCGGAAGGCTCAACTGGTGAGGAACTTCAAGCGGAGTTGAGTCGTCTACAGGAAGAACTGGCAGACAAGGACCAACGGATTGAGAAGCTATCAAAACAACGCAAGACGGAAGAAGACCTGCGCGAGGAGATTGAGAACCTCCAAGAGAATTTGATGGTCATTGGCCAGGATCACGTCGAGGCAAAGGAGAGGATCAAGGAGCTCGAGGCCGAGAAGAAGGCATTGCAAGAGCGTATCTCAGAGCTGGAGAAGGAAGCCGAATCTTCAGCAGCAGCAGCCAAGGGCAGCAGCGAACTTCAAATCGAATACAAGTCCTTGAAGGAAGAGTTTGAGAACCTCAACATGAAGTCCTCGACACTACAGTCTGATCTGGCTGCCGCGCAACAGCTAGCTCAGACTCGGTACAAAGATCTCACCTCGCTTAGAGAAGTCCTCCAGAAAGCCCAGCCCGAACTGAAGAGCCTGCGGCAAGACTCGGTCGCACTCAAGACCACACGGGAAGAACTAGCAGCGAAGAACACCGAGTTGCGTAACCTCGAAAAGCGCGAGAAGGAGCTGAAGACGGAGCTTTCCAGGGCACAACGCCTCGCCACAGATCGCGAGGGTGAGATCAAGACACTACACGAGAAGATATCGCAAGAAGCAAACGCACGCCTACGCCTAGAAGACGAGAAACGCGTGGCCGGCCGCGACCTCCGCCGCTCAGAAGCCGAAAAAGATTGAGATCTCAGCCAGAGAAGAGAAGACCTCGCGCGAACTCCAACGCGTGCAAGACGAGGCTGCTAAGCTACGGCCACGCATCCGCGAACTCGAAGACGAAGCGACCCGCCTCAAAAAGGATCAGGAAAGTCCTCCGAGAAGAAATGGAGCTCAAGACCAACCAGTACACCAGCGCGCAAAACCTCCTAGGGTAGCATGCGCGACCAGACGGCGGAATTGAGCATTCAGCTCAAGGAGAGCCAGTCGCAGTGCGAGAGCCTGGACGAGGAGCTGGCCGAGGCGCGCAAGATGCTCGGCGAACGTACGCGCGAGGCCGAGACCATGCGCCGCCTGCTCGCCGACGTGGACGAGCGTGCCGACGCCAAGGTGCGCGATATGCGCGCCAAGATGGACGCCGCCGTCGAGGAGCGCGACCGGCTCGAAGACGAATCCAGTGCGCTGGCGCGGCGCAAGACCAGGGAGACGGAGGAACTGAGACAGAAGGTCCGGGATCTCGAACGCGAGGTCAAAGCGCTTGCGAGCGAAAAGGACGATCTGGAGCAGAAGGAACGCGAGTGGCGGCGGAGGAGGGAGGAGCTGGAGGCGTACGAGGAGCGGGCCGGGGCCGAGGTCACCGAGATGCGGACTACCGTGTCGAATCTGAGGTCGACGCTCGACGGGTCGGAGCAGCAGGTCCGGGATACGGAAAAGAAGAATGGCGAGCTGCGACGGGCGTTGGATGACTACCGATTGCGCTACGACAAACTCGCCAAGGAGTCCAAGGCGCTGCAGGCGAAGCTGTCGTCGCCAGTTGTTGCCAGCTCGGGGCGGAGTTCCATAGACTCGACCCGGTCCGGCAGTTTGAACGGCTCCGGATCCCAGCAAGGCGGTGGCAGCCAGGATGCCATGTACTTGAAGACAATTCTGTTGCAGTTCCTGGAGCAGAAGGACAACAGGTTGCGGGCGCAGCTAGTGCCGGTGCTGGGGAAGCTCCTCAAGTTCGACAAGTGAGTGGTCTGTCTATTCCGGGTTTATTCTTAAGATGCTAACAGCAATGCTCCAGGGCGGATGAACAAAAGTGGCTTGCTGCCATTCAGCATATCAACAGCAGGTAGTCAGTCGGTTCTGGCGGGACCCCATTGTTGCAGTATTTGGGCAACCTTAGGGCCTGTCTTTTAGAGATCACAAAGCCTCGTCTCTTCATGGAAAGGGGTGAATGCTATGAGGACAGGTCGCCAATTGCCTATTATCTCCCACCCTTTGCTTTCCGAAGCAATACACTACACCGAGATTCACTTTGTTCATTTTCTATATTTCCTGTCTCTGCAGATTAGACCCCATTTGTACATGTACGTTTCTCGTTCGGTTGGGGAGGCTCAACTGCTTTTCGGATACTCGGCAAAGTGGTTACCACGGGACACTGCTTGCAACAGCGCCGCTTGGCGGGCAATTGTAGATTTTCTAGGCCTGTTCCCCCGCGGGCAGCCCCAAACATTGACCCACGGGAGGACTAGAAAAGAACACACAGGCGCCAACTGCGCGCCGGGCAGTGCCGGATGGATCGCGACGGTGCGGGACTCGTGTAACCAACTGCCAATGGTTAAACCCTGCCCAATTCTCAAGCACTCACCTAATTCCGCCCTGGGGTCTGCCCCGATTAAGCCAAGCAAGAACCGCAGCAATCAACCCTTGTAGGTGCGGCTCTCGTTGGATGGACTGCGAACCCAGCCCCCATTCAAGCCAGTGTACCTGCATCCCATAAACAACTCATGACCATCGTGATGTTGAGTGGTCTCCGCGGTGCAACCCTAGCCCAAATGTATAAGTAACCCAAGTTATAGCTAACCTGTCACATCCCGCGCCAGCCTGCGCAAGCTTGTACAAGCCGCGTCAACAACGTCCAACCTCCTCCCTCCCCTCCCCCCTTTCTCACCCCCGAGGACAACCTCGATACCATCAACCCTCTTTTTTTAAAAATATCACCATGACCGACCTCCCGCCCCGCTTCGCAACCGACCTCGAGGCCAGCCTCGACGTCCCCCCATCCCTTGCCTCCTCCTCCCTCGCCCCCTCCTCAGACCAGCAAAGCACCAGCAGCCGATCCAGGCGATGGGACGACCCGCCCGAGGAAGAACCACTCGGCCCGCCCGAGAATCTCACCACCATGGTCTTCATCAAGTCGGTCGAGGTGCGGTCGCATATAGAAGCCGAGATCATGCAGCTGACCTTCACGGCGTCGGACTCGCACCTCGCCGCCCTGGTGCCCAAGTCCATCAACACGCGGTGCGTGACCCCCGAGGGGCCCTTCGGCCTGAGCGCGTGGCACGCCGGCACCGGCCAGCGGCTCGCCAGCGCGTCGACCATGCTCTCGAGCCACGGCCTGCGCGTCCACGGCGGCTTCGCCCTGAAACCAGGTGTCGCCGACTTTATCGTCGCGTGTCCCTCGCTGATCCCCGCGGCGAATGCGTCGTCGTCGTACACCGAGTCGTACGGCGCGCTGCTGCCGCGGCTCGAGGTGTACGACCTGGGCCGCAAGGAGCGGCTGCTGAAGCAAGACGTGGCGATTTGCGCGCCCGTGGCGTGGAGCCCCGACGGGGAGGTGCTGGTGGGGGTGTCGTCGCGGGACCCGAGCCGCATGGTCGTGCTCAGGATGCCCAAGACCAAGGAAGGCTATGTTCGCCCGGGGCCGACCATCATGTGCCACTCGGACGAGGTCACCAAGCTCGCGTTTTTGCCGTTGTGGGAGAGCGGCGGGCGGGCGCTGGTCAGCGCGGGCAAGGATGGGTATTTGAGGGTGACGGATGTGGAGACGAGGAGGACGCTGCAAAGGGTGGAAATCGGGGCGAGGGCACCGGCCAGCATAATGCAGGTGTCCGAGGACGGGAAGCTAGTGGTGACGGTGTGGGGGAGGGACGTGGTGTTGTGGTTTTTGGAGACGGGGAGGGTGCACAACTACAACCTGAACGCGGTGCGCGTGAATGAAGGGTGGCCGCTTTCGGTCTCGCCGGACTGCAGGTACCTGGCCTGCCGGAATGAGGAAGGTTTCGATGTCATGGACGTCCAGACAGGGAAGTTCAGAGGCGAGTTTGCGTGGACGGGAGACACCATCACGGCGGCAGCGTTCAACAGTGAGGGGACACGGTTAGCGATCGGGGATCACGCCGGGATGTTGCAGTTGTTTGAAATTATCACATCATGAAGGGATGCGGTCGGCCTTTGGGGGCTGGGCGCCGAAGGTAGAAGAGAGAACAGCATGATATCCCGATGCGTGATGATGTACGACCATTCAGGGCGACAATGGGTAGCTGGGTGACTGGGTAGCATCTAGAAAGGCATAACGGATGGGAACTGGCCAAGATTGATTATTCGCGATGATACCAAATTGATTCCATCTTACCAGGCTTTTTTCTGCATTAATAGTGTCGGGTTCAGCTGGGTCCGAATCAGTCTCTCGTATCCATCGTGAACCAACGAGCTGTTTACATTTTGAAGCAGTTGAGTCATTATCAGCCTGACACCCCGGGAAGCCGGTTGCCCGAGCTCGCCGAGCGACTTCTCGAACATTGAACACCGCTAGTTAGTTATAACCCAGTCCGCGCATTCCACTGCCAACTCGGTTGGCTGTCCAGAGGGGCAGTTGCCAGTTAGGGGGGCCCGGCCCGACACCATGAGATGAGACAAACCTGCATCCCGATAACAGCGAGCCGGGACCATCCCAGCACGAGTTCATCCAGCCCTGAGTGGCGTGGTGGCACAGCGCAACATGGTGGGTGAGACCCCACTCTATTCGGGTTGTGCTCAACATGGCCACAATGAACCAACCACGACATTCCCCCACAGCCCACAACCAGTTGCAGTCAGGAAGAGGAATAAGCCGGAGACCGAAATCTCTCGAGTATCGGCACCGGCCTGGTGTCGGATTGGCGGTCGGACGGGACCGCACGTTTGGCGGGCCGGGGAGCGCCGTCTGGTGTCCGAGCCTCGTCCCAACTGATAAGGCAGGGTCTCGCGTGGTGGTGGCGGCCTATCAGCGGGATGGCGGTTGTTGTGCATGAAGGAACCTTCTTTGGGTTAGCACAGCATGTGAGCAGTGGGTTTTACCAGGATAGCCAGCCGAGGCAATCGGCGGTGCCCCAGTGTCTCAAGATTTTGAGAGAGATATTCGTCGAGCCTGTCCAACAATGGGGTTGTTTATCCAATCAATCTTCCTTCCGTCACATGCAGGGGCTTCTTCAAGAAGAAACATCTCATAAACAAGGTATCGTATATGTACGTCTGATCCAAATCAGTACCCGGAAATGGGAATTGTTCTTGGATGTGACGCTGGGAAGGAGGGCGATCTCATCGAGCACTAGCGGCGAGGGTTCCCCGCATGTTCGTCCTTTTCCGAGTGGTGACAAGGAAAGCCGGCGGCAGCTGTGTGTTCGTCAACAAGTCTGTCGGGCACTCGCCGGGGAAGAGTCGTTTCTAGGGAGATATCAGCGTGTGGGGGTTTCAATACTTTCTCGAAACACCTCCCCCATGTCCACTCTGCCAAGTCTGAACGCGCTGCTCCATAACTTACTCGGAAGCTTGTCCCTGTGGTGGTCGACCACAGATAAGAGATTTTCGCGAATTTTTTCCCATCCCTCCAACCATCCATCCCACTTAAACCCCGGGTCGCGCCAAAGGCCCCGAGTCCCGGTTCGCGCCGGTATTAAAGGTTGGGTTGCCACCCACAACCATCGCAAAAGCTCGAGTTCCTCAGCAACGCTCTCTCCCAAGTCGGGCTTGCTGAAAGCTTCGCTGTCTTCCCGACCTAGCCTCAAACAATCCATCTCACACAGCACACAACACTCCAACTCCTCACCGTGGCCGGTTGCTCAAAGAATTCGACATTATGGGCTGGATCGAAAAGACCAACCGGCGGATCGCCACTGGTCCGGTCGGTCGCTGGTTCAAGCTTGATGGATGTGGACATGTGAGCACTTCGGACAGTGTCAGGTGTTGGGAACGATGCTAAAGGCTGCCCAACAGCCAAAGGAGAGAAAAGGGTCGTATTTCTTTACCGAGCTGCGTGCCGGTCTTGCAACCTTCTTTGCCATGGCGTGAGTCGGCTGGGCGCAATGTGAATTTCTAGGGCAGATGATGCTGACACTGCTCACAGGTACATCATTGCCGTCAATGCTAGCATCGTTTCCGACAGCGGAGGCACCTGTGTGTGCAACGAATCCGCGAATGCGAAGTCGATTATCCCCTGTGAAAATGACACCCAGTACCTCCTCTGCAAAGCCGACATCAAGAAAGACCTTGTCACAGCTACCGCCGCCGTGGCCGCCATGGGGACCTTCTGTATGGGACTTTTTGCCAATTTGTACGTCAAACTCCATGTGACTGAGTATGTCGAGAAAAACAAAAGGTGACCTGCTAACGCAACGCTGTTGGTAGACCCGTGGGGATCGCCCCTGGTATGGGATTGAACGCGTATTTTGCTTATACGGTTGTCGGGAAGCATGGAACGGGGCCGGTCCCGTTTGAGGTCGCCTTGACGGCCATCTTCATCGAGGGCTTCATTTTCTTCGGCCTTGCGATTCTCGGTTTGCGGCAATGGCTCGCTCGTGCCATCCCCCGCTGCATCAAACTGGCCACAAGTGTTGGTATTGGGCTCTTCCTCACTCTTATCGGTTTGACGTATGCCGAGGGAATCGGTCTCATTGTCGGCGGCACATCGGTGCCCATCGCCTTGGCGGGATGTCTTGACGAGCTTCGAGATGCCGATGGGCAATGCCCAGACAGTGTCAAAATGCGCAGCCCTATGATGTGGATTGGAATATTCTGTGGCGGTGTCTTCACCGTCATGCTGATGATGTACCGGGTCAAAGGCGCCATCATCGCCGGTATCATCCTCGTTTCTATCATCTCTTGGCCCCGCACCACGCCCGTCACCTACTTCCCCTATACTGAGCTCGGAGATGCCAATTTCGACTTCTTCAGAAAGGTGGTCGACTTCCATCCGATTCAAAAGGTTCTGAACGTCCAGCGTTGGGATGTGGGCCATTATGGTGGTCAGTTTGGCCTCGCGCTAGTGACCTTCCTTTACGTCGACATTCTGGACACCACGGGCACCCTCTATTCCATGGCTCGCTATGCCGACCTTGTCGACCCTGTCACTCAGGACTTCGAGGGCTCGACCTGGGCGTACATGGTCGACTCGCTCACCATTTCGATCGGCGCCGTGTTGGGAACTCCACCAGTTACTGCCTTTGTGGAGTCTGGCGCGGGGATCGGCGAAGGCGGCAAGACGGGTTTGACGGCAATGTCGGCGGGCTTCTGCTTTTTCATCTCCATCTTCTTTGCCCCCATCTTCGCCTCGATCCCGCCGTGGGCAACCGGTTGCGTGCTTGTGCTAGTCGGCTCCATGATGGTCCAGGCTGTGACCGACATCAACTGGAAGTACCTCGGAGACTCGCTGCCGGCCTTCTTGACCATCGCCATCATGCCCTTCACCTACTCCATCGCCGATGGGTTGATTGCTGGGATTTGCCTGTACATCCTGATCAATTCCCTGGTGTGGATCATCGAAAAGGCGTCGGGTGGTCGCATTGTGCCCCCTAACAAGGAGCTCAAGGAGCCATGGACGTGGCGGACCGAGGGCGGTATCATGCCCCCCTGGATGGGGCGGCTGGCGAAGGGGAAGAAGGATTTTTGGCGCAATACCCCGAACGCGTCAGTGTCTGACGCCGAGGGAGTAACGGAGAAGATCGACGGCCAGACGGTGAATTCAGATAAGGACACGGCCGTTGCGACAGGCCGGGCCGAGAAGACGGCATAGCAGAAGTGAATTAGCTACCACGAGTCTCTGCAGGGGATGCTTGCGATGTATTTCGGTCGAATCTTCCACAAAGTGCACGACCCAACGTTCGCGTAGCAGTGTTACCATCCCACCTCAACGCCGTTCCAGGGCCGGTGGCCCTGGGTGACTGACGAACAAGCGATCTTTAGTTGTGAGGCGCCCAAAACGAACCTCACGTACTCCTGGGTATGCGCCTGAAGTCCGGTAGGGCTCCCGGAACTCAAAGCCTGGGTCGTTGCTAACCTTCGGTAGTTGTGAGAACGAGGAAGATCATATCGGGGCCCAGGAAGTCGTGCTCTGTCGCCTAACAGATAAACTTTCGACCATGGTTGAAAGAACTGCTTTGTCAGGTTCCTCGTTAGCTGGGAACGGCTCAAGCTCGAGTTGACGAATGCCTTAGATGATGGAAGCGGCAAGCGAGGGCCCTGACACTTCCAAGCGGCTTAGAGTTGCTAGCCAGGATGATACTGTCTCTCGTAGACCAGGTCTTGAGACCCAATTGATGTTGTTGACATACCCTTCGCTCAGGTTGATGACCCGTGACTCGAGTGTCTTGGAAACAAGCAAATGGTATGTGTGTTGCTCGACCTTCCTCCCCGTCATCTTGTCGAGCACGCCTTGGCTTGACTTTGACGAGTTAACCGCGCCCTCTTCTTCGGCTGCCGTTGCACACCGAGTTAAACAACGCCCCGAAGAGCTAGGCGGCCACCCGGTAATTGCCCTGCGGGGTGCTGTTTATCGATTTGGTGGGGTTATGATGTTGCGCTGCGTGTCCCGGCCCGTGGACAGTACTTGTGCGTGTAAGTGCATGGATCCGAAGCCATCACGGGCAACTGCTGCTCTTCAGCTGCCGTATCCATATTTTGGGAATTGGTGAAATTGAACGAACAAAATTGTGGGTTGATGCTTCAGGTTCATCTAGGCAGCCTCGGGTATCTACCGTATGTCCATACATACATCTTGCCATGATGAGATGGCGGGGCACCGGCTGAAAATTAGGCCGTGCATCTGGCTAAGGAAGGTATTTATAGCGGAACATGCCCCGCCGAGTGATGAACGCTGCAGTTGTTGTAAGTGCCTTCTTGGTTAAGGTACCTATCTATCTGGGACATTTGGACGGTTTCTTTGTTTTTCTGTTTTTTCTCTCTTTTATTACTTCATCGGATCTCCTTGAATAAGGCACTTACAATGGACTCCGCATACCACACCATCACCATCACCTGCCACTGCAACGCCGCAAAGCAGGTACTCACCCCACGGGACACCCAGGGCGTCTTCTCAAACCTGTCACTTTGCCACTGTGACACTTGCCGCCACTCGACAGGCCTTCTATGTGCCTCCTATACCCCCATATCTTCTCCTCAATCCACCACTGGACTGGAGAGTTACTCTGTCTCCCCAGCATCGACCAGATACTTCTGTTCAACTTGCGGATGCCACATTTTCCGTGCCCGACACCCATCTCCTACCGCACCCTCCGAAGAATGGAAATGGGAGGTAGCAACAGGCACCATTATCGATGCGCCGGCGTCAAGCCGTGTCCCTGAGACCTCCCACCACCAACACACCAACGCCACCAACGACGGTGGCCTCTCACCTTGGCTTCAAGCACCCCCACCCTCCCATGACACCGACTCACCACCGCCACCGGACGAGAACAACAACGATACCCTCCGCGCCTCATGCCACTGCACCTCCATCACCTTGCTCATAGCTCGTGCCTCCCCCTCTCCCCTCAACCCCAATTCCCCGTACCCCGACCTCCTCCTCCCCTACACCACCACCCCCCTTCCCACCATTCTCAACCCCTCCCACGAGAAGTGGTATCTCCGGCCCACAAACACCAACATCGACGCCAATGCCGACACCAACACCTCCTCAATCCCCTCCCCCCCTCAAGCAAACAACGCCCACGCCCACGTCCCCTACCGCTACCTAGCCGGGACCTGTGCCTGCCAGCTCTGCTGCCTAACCTCGGGTTTCGAGATCCAGACCTGGGCATTCATCCCCCGCCGCAACATCGCCATCCGCGGCAGCAGCAGCAGCAGCAGCAGCAGCATCCCCGTCCCCGCAGCCCCTTCGCCTCTCTTTCCTCCTCCTTCTCCTCCCCCGTCCAGTCTAAATCACGCCACCTACCAGCCCTTAGACTTCTCCCACCTACCAGCCGGCGTCCCACTCAAAAAATATGAGTCCTCTCCCGGCCGGGCGCGCGAGTTCTGCGCTGTGTGCGGCGCGACCGTCTTCTGGCACGACACGTTCCCGGCCTGATCTCATTGATGTCAGCGCAGGTCTTCTCCGCCGCGGAGGAGGGGGCGAGGGGCGGAGCATTGGTTGGAGTGGTTGGACCGAAGCGGGTTCAGTTTCTCGGAGGAGGCCGGGAAGGGGCGGGCGGGGGGTGCGAAGGTGTGGGGAGAGGAAGTTATTGCGGCGCTGGAGGGGGGCATGAGGGGGGCCTGCATCGTCAGGGTTAAGGAGAAGGAGGTTTGCAGAAATCGGCGGCACGCCATTTTGTGGCCGTGTGGCGACGTCTATGGAAAAGGAAATGATCTATCATGCAAGGCGCCGGCCATTGCCGCTAGATATAGCAAACCAAATAACACGGGGATGTGCACCCCAACTCAGGTGGACAGCGTGATAAATCATACTTCGATACAATGCCATAACTCCAACTTATGCGGCGGCCGATCATGTGCCCTTTCCGTGGGGGCCACTGTTGTCTGCAAACACGAGTATTTAACATATCAACCTTGGCCAGACGCGCGGTAGGGGTCTGGTATACCCTTTCCTCATTACTAGTGACTGCGGACAACAACCCTGGACTCAACCTGATTGAAAAATTGAAACAACCTCAGGCCAGTTATCCAAAAGGCATGAAGGTTTGGAGCCGGACCTTATGCCCAGAATCGGGGAGCACGCGAATGCCAATGCAGCATGTTGGCTGGTGCTTATATCTCCCGGTTCTTACCGCCGTTGAAACTCTAAGACAGCTAGACGGCGATAGCCTCGGCTACAATCTCGGTGCGCGACTCCTCAATGACAGGCGTATTCGTGCCGGAGTTATCCCGCGACTTCGCACCGTCGCCGGCGTCTACAGGGCCGCCCGCCTGGCCATCGCGTTCCATCATCGCCGCTAAACGGGCAGCTCGGCCTTCCTTCTTTCTCGGTACTGGGGCTATAAGAATATTAGTAAACACGAGTCAGATACGCAAAGGAATTAACCACCCACCTCGGTTGTTCTCTTGTACGTAAAACTGCCTGAGAAGCGTCACGGCCTCGTCACGGCCCCATCCTCCCTCGGCCTCGTATCCCCTCTCAACATTACCGCCATCTCCGGGGAGCCTAGATGTTTCGATGGGGCAAGGAACAAGACTGTCACCGTTTTTAGTCTCGTTGACCGGCGTGTGTTCCTCTGGGACGATATCCGTGGAAGCCGGGCGGCGCTCGAGAACTGGCCTCGCAATACCCTTGCCGTTCTGGGGCACAGGCGACGGAGGCGCCGAGGCCATGGTATAGGGTGAGTTCTTGTGGATCCGAAACACGCCACCGGTACCGCCGAACTTGTCGTTGACGGCGCCGAAGTAAACCTTCTTGATCCCGAACTGGCGAAGCAACGAAGCACACATGACGCACGGCTCGACCGTGACGTATAATGTGCATTCAGTGATGACGGATGGGTCCACGCGAGGAGAGGGATGAAGCTTTTGCCCATACGGATAAAGGTGGCCATCCTTGGGGTCCACATCTCCCCAGGTGCTAGTTTCCTCCATAACTTGTGCTTCGTTGGTCTTGTTGCCGAGAGGCAATCTAGTTCCGCCGCCCTTTTCATGGGATGCGTTGGCCTTAGATTCGAGGTCGGATTTGGGTAAGTAAGATAACAAAGCAGAGATCGCCATGAGTTCGGCATGCCTCGTTCCATTTCGAGTGACGTTCGTTGCGTTCATGCCTCTGGCGATGACCCGCCCCTTGTAGACGAGCACGCAGCCGACGGGGGTCTCGTTGGTTTTGAGGGCAAGTCTGGCCTACAAATACGTTTGGCTTCAACGAACCGCCTCTCTCAAGTCAAGGGGAAACAGTTGGATGCTTACCATATCCAAAGCCTCCCTCATAAACCGGCTATGCATGGCCCTCTCGGCTGCCTGCTCAGGCGTCTCGACATTGTCCCGAATGTGCACAGCGACGCCGTCCAGCTGAATGGTCGTCGTGGTTTCTTTCAACTTACTAGTTTGAGAAACTGTATGCGTCAGAGGGACTGGAAGCGTTCGCGTGACCTCACCGGCAACACTGTCGCTGATGCTGTCCGGGCCGGATTGCTGCAGCAGTGCGCCGTTCTGCGTGACTCGCTTGCCGACTCCATTTTCTACGCTGTTACCCGCGCCGCCATCTACCACATCTTTGAGCAGATTGGGCGGCGTTTCGGCTGCTGTATCGGCCTCGTTAAGCTTCAAACGGGAGATATCGCGACGGAGCTGATCGTCGACGTCCGTTGGCGAAACCGTCTTCAGCAAGTGGTTCTCCTTTGTACCGGGAGGAGTGCGTGGAAGAGCCGAGATAATTTTCGAAGCCGGTGCATGTTGGCCCCGCGGCACAGTCGCGGAAGAGATGGCCGCCATGTTGTCGTCACTGTTGCGACTGCCGTCCCCAGCGGTGGTGTTGCGGGCTTCTTGCGAGGATGAAGCAGAACTCGAACTCGGAGTCGAACAAGGAAGGATTGGTGGGTTTGTTTGGCGAAAATTGGGAAAAAGTTGAACCACTTGCAGAGCGGTGTTGAAGGGAAACAGAAAGAGCGACTGCAGGAACGCCGTGGTTTTGAGGCGGATGGCCGAAACCATGTTGAAGAATGTGGTTGCCATTTTCACCACATGAGATGGTTCCAAAACCTTACTGTCCTTATTCACAACCCATCCAAGTCACTTTCGAGACGAAACTCAGGCAGTGAGCAATTAACGAAGGTTGCCGTCGAGTGCGAAATGTACCGTGGATGCGAAAACATGAACAACGTATCAGAATTGAAGGGCAGCTGCCGATGGTGACCTTTCACAGAGCCTCGGTATTGAGGAAAGGAAACCAAGCGTTTCCGGGCTTTTGCCTCGCGGTTTTGAGTCGATATCACTTCTAGGTGACGTTTGTGGTGTCTCTTTCATGCAAGTTTCAAGGACGTCGATTCCAGGTAAGGTACATGACAACACTAATGTATTATTTATTATGAGACGGAGTGCAGAAATCGGTGACTTGGGGAAGAAAAGTGGGCCATAGCAAAAATTGTTCAAGGCCTTACAGAGGAGGTTATGCACTTGTGTCGAAGTGGAAGCTCCACGTATTACATACATGAGAACCTGCTTTGTTGCATATCTTCATCCAACTGGAATCGATGAATGGGGATCCAGGAGGATGGAAGGTAAGGTAATTGGGAAGCACAATCACAGCAAGCGAGGGAACATTTTTGTTTAAGTTTTCAGTGGTCTGGGAGGACCCTCAATTGTCAAGCCCGAAGAGCGAGCGCTCACTACCTGCACGGAAACAAGGACAGGAAAACAGAGCATCGTCCCTCGAGTCAGGCCTCACATCCCGCTTAGCCGTCCTCTCCTCAACCTCAACCTCATACCACAAACCAAGCTCCTTTGCTGGGCATGGAGCAAGCCCTGAACATAGTATACACATTGAAGAGAAGAGGACGACCACATATCTCAAATCCGACCCGGGGTATCATAGTCAAAATGCACTCGCTAACAAACATAAGCCATCACAAACATATCGGAACACTCGCCGGACCACCATGGCTTATATCCTCAGCAGTCGCACCGTTGGCAGGCGAGGCATGGAGCTTCTCGCCCGCCAAGACCCGGAAGACTTGAGATCTTCCAGGCCCGTGACGACCGACTGGACTTTCAACTTGACGTTGTTGAGGATGCCAGAGGGCGTCGGCGGTTGCAAGGGTTCCGAGGCGACCCATGTCGCGCTCGACGGCCCGGAGCACCGAGGTGCTAGCCGGGCCAGTGAGATGCTTGTGATGGCAAGGATGTTGACGAGGTTGACTTGATTTGCCAGGTGTGCTTGCAACGCAGAGGCACAGAGGAAAGAGACAAGACCGAACACGGCAAGCTGGAAGAAGAATGCGTTAAGATGCACATCTTCCCCAGCGACGTCGCGCCGCTTCGGCAGGGTCGAGAACAACATGGTAGCCAAAGTGGCATTGACTGCAGCAGTGGCCTGCTGCGTGGCATGCTTTTCGTCTTCAGGGGTGGGCGATCCGGATGCACGGCGAGTCACAAGTTGCTGCGACTTGAAGCCCTTTGTGCAGCTCTGCACGAAGCGTAGCGAACTAGCACGTGCGGTGCTGCCAACGACCTTGTGATATTGCTGGAAGGCCGTCTCGGTTGCCGTCTTGGTTGTACACCCTAATGATCCACGATCAGGCGCGGCAGTCGACGGCGATGCCTTGGCATACACGTCAAGCTTGCCATTCTGAGAAACCTGGGTCGAGGCAGGCGAGCGACCAGGCGGTGCCAATGCGCCTCCAGGGGGTGCTGATGCTGATGTTACCCTCCTGGGTCGAGGTGCCCTGGTCGGACTAACCGACGACTGGGTGACATTGGCAACCACAGTGCTGGTGCTGGTGACGCTGCCGAGTACGGTCGGTGCCGAGGACTGAGAAACTGATGACTGGACGATGAGAGTAGCAAAGGCGTCCGAGTTGCCACCAGAAATATGCCTGTAGCGGCTGTGGCTGCTATCTCCGTCGTCGATTACCCTATTGTGATTGGTGCTCAACTGCAGGTTCGTGGGTGAGTGATGCGCGCTGGGCTGTGGTTTGTCGTGGAGCGTGTCCCCAGGATCATAATACCAGGCATCATCATGAACCACGGCGGTGACTGTGTGGTTCTCACCACCATGTAGTTCGCCGGTTGATCTTGTCTGGGAAACATCGGACGTCAATGTGGGAGAGGCTTGGGCGGAATGTTGAGTTCCCGGGCTAGTCGATTGCGGAGAATGTTGTTGGCTCCCGAGGTCTCTCATCTGGAGAACAGGGTCTTCGTCAAACAGCTCAGGGCCTGGCGAATAAAGGTTGAAGTCCAGGTAGTTGGTGCCATGAGCGACACCCGGGTTGAGATAAGGAACGGCCGGGTCCTCGAGCGAGAACTCGCCAGGGGCGCCAATTGCGTAGTCAGATGCAATGGCAGGTGATGCGTCAGAACGTTCTGGCGTAATTGGCGTGAGGATATGAGAGGGTGAAGTCGCGGTGGAGCCGGGGGTTGGCGAGAAGAAGCTCTGGACGTCGGTGAACGAGTCGAAAAACAAGTCGTCAATGGTGGATGTGGGAGCAATCGCGACTGGCTCCTGGTCGAGGGCAACGAATTCGTTCCAGAACTCCTCCGAGTCTTGGGGGTAGCCGATGTCGAAGGATGGGAAGGAGAGGGACTCGGCCGCAAAAGGGTCTGCGGCAGTGAAATCGGCTGCCGCATTGGCCACTGCTACGGGGGCTGGCTCATCTGCTTTCTTTGCCTTCTTGGTGGGCTTCTGCTCGGTTTGCGTTGCGGACGTCTGCGAAGCGTTCCGCTTCCTGTGGCTGGGGTCGCAGCGGACCTTCTTCTTCTTGCAGGCGTCGCACGCCTTGATGATCCGCATCAGATGGGCGTGATCCCGCTGCTCCTTGGTCTTGCAACCTCGGGAAGCCGAATTCGTCACATCACGGCCATCCTTGGTGAGTATACGCATTCCGGGGTGGTTGGCGAAGTCCACTGTCTGCTGCCGCGAGCTAGAGGTGCTGGACCTCTTGGATGCAGAAGAACGCGGCTTGGACCCAGATGCCGCAGGGGCAAATGGCGCAGGGGACTGGGTCCAGGAGCCCTGTTCGGACAGGACAGGAGAGTGGTTGAAGCTCGATGCGTAGCCCGAGTCGTAGAGGGCGGAGGTGGCCGGCGAGGCTGTCACCGGAGTGAAGGACCCCGAAGGAACGGGGTAAAACTTGAAGTTCTCACCGGTCTGTCGGGAGAACTCAAAAAAGTCCATGGAGATGTGAGCACGCTTGTCCTGGATAGAGGCGGGGCCAGGAAGGAAGGCGTTGATCATGTCGTCGAGTTCCGCGGTGCCAATCGCGGGGAGCCACTGCAGGGAAGCTCCGAGTGCCGGTTGGCAAACGGAGAACCCGCTGAAGGCACCGACGGAGCCGTGTCGGGCCATGCCGGTCATCGGTACGGATGTATCACGGTGGTCGGGCGGAGTGAGAAACAAACCGGCGTCAGGGATGCCGCAATTGTTACCAAGATCCGTAAGCCTTGGTTTAGACGCCTGCAACGAAATGGTGTTGATGGCGTTTCTTTGGAAATCCAATGTGGGTGGTGGTCCTGCTTGCAATGGAAGCGGGATTGCGTGGCAACGATAACCAAATTCTGACAACTCGGATTTCGCCGAGTTTGTCCAAGACGAAATGCTGGCCAAGGGAGAAAGGTCGTCTTCGACGTGAAGATCTCTCTCAGGCAACAAAGGTCCAAGATGACTGTGGCACCGATAAAAGCGCTTGACAGCAGTCGGGCAATTGCACTGACAAATTCCGATTGTTCGATGGAAAAGAAAAGGAAGAAAAGGCAAAAACGCGTCCGAAGGAGTCAGGCCGATATTTCACTTCCCTTGGTAACAAGAGTTGCTGCACCAGGTCAGGACTCCAAGGCGCAGCGAGAAGGTTGTCTCCCCCCAGCATTTCGGCGAGCCGAATCAGGAATAGCGCCTTTCAGGGTGGATTATGGGACGGGTACATGGGGGTTGGTACTTTTCTGCGCGGCCACGAACTGGAGATATTTCATGCACTTCTGATTCACCAATCATGGTACATTAAATTATGAATCCTTCGTACCAGTGACCATCCAGCCGCGGCGGAGAAGCGACCTGCATGGTTGCAGAACACGGCGAGCGATTCTCACCAGGTCATTGCTCCACACCCCGCTGTTCCCAGGGACCCTCCAGTCTGACCCAGGAACAGCGGCATTGTGATGACGACAAACCCAATTGGCCAACATTGGATGAGTCAATCGACAATTCCTGCCGGCCTATCGCGGAAGGTGCTCTTCGGGTGTCACTCCTGTCCCGCACAGGTGTTCAGCAAGTGCTTTTGAAGACAGTTTCCGGCGGCCATCCTAGGTGAGCACTGAAGGTCAATGTTTATCTTCACTTTCTTTTGACTGGACTGCACCGGAATTGTACGCAGGTAATTGCAGCTGAAGATATTCTCACGGAAGGGAGCGATGCGCAGAACGGCAAGCAAAGGGTTTTTGACAATTTGGCAAGGCTGACCCACGGGGATTCAGAGCTGCTCTTGGCGCAGTGTCAGATTCCCCCGGTCCGAGTCTGTGCAACCCCACATTCAATTGAGTCAATCCATCCATATCCTCTGCCTCGTCACGGACACAATGGCATTCCACAGAACGCTGTCCGGAGTACGGATAAAGGCGATAGATTTAAATACGATTAATTGACACGAATAGGGTTGGGGCTATGTATGTTAGTCCGAAACAGCCGTCTCTTGGTAAAAACCTCGAGCTGGGTCACCCGATTCCTTGTCCCTGTTTGAGGCCTCGTCGACCTGTGGTATAAAAGCAGAGGCCGCCCATTGATAGAACACATCATCAATCCAACCCGCCAGCAGCCGTAACACCGCAAGAAGCTTGTAGACGCCATCCAGATCGTTGGTGGATCCAATGTCCATTGCGCCAAGGATAACCTATTCTCTCGTTAGTGCCTGCTTTCTGTTCGAGGCCCGGGCGGAGGGGCCAGCAAGGGGAAAGAGTGGCATACGATTGTGGTCCCTCGATCACAAGCAAAGTAAAGTGTCCACTTATCATCCATTGTTAGTATCAATGGCAAAGTTGGGAGTGGAGTTTACCCGCGATTTCCGATCCCGAGTGCTTCCATCCTTCGGTGCCAAGCCGCCGTCCATACAGCAAGCTGCACGCATCCCTCTTCCATAGACGCACCGAGGACTTTCGTCCCGATGGCCACAGCCACGGGTGAACGGGTCAATGGCGTATAGTCGGTCTGGTTGGCTGTCAAGGGCCAGCTGTCTGGTTGACATTCCAACTTTGCTCGAATAGCAACAGCAAGTTCAGCATCGGCAGCGACGGGGTCCTTGTAGTCAAGACATCTCGTCATAACGAAGTCGATCATCTTCCCCTCTGCAATCGCCTTCCCAATGGAGAGGGACGGCATAAAGGCAGGACAGGTCTCAGCAGACGTGGCGTTCACGTATCCTACGTGTGGGTCGTGACGAAACAGCGCCAGCTCTAGCAACGGCTCGTGTACCTTGCTGTTCCATGCCGCCTCGGAGTACCTGCCGTCAACGCACCGCCAGGTTTCGCGGATGATATTCCGGACTGCGAGTAACTCGGCTAGAGCCAGCCGTTGCGGTGCCACGAATGGTTGAGTGCTGGCCCGAGCGAAGGCCCAGACGGCGGGGAGCTGGTCGGGGAACTCGTCTTGTATGGTGGTCGTGCTATCTAGACTAGTGTCTTTTCTAGCGTCTTCTCCCAAAGCCTTCCGTGCTTTGCTCTCCTTCGCGGTGATGGTTCCAAAGCTGCGTTCCGGCAGCGGGTACTCATAGAGGCTGGTGATCTCGCTCCGAATCTCGGTCGGGAAGATGCAATTGTTAAATTTAACAACGGGGTACACGGCATCCCAAAACGTAGCCGCATCGGCAGGGAGTTGTTTTACGTCGCGGAGGTGCCCATATATGACCGGCTTTTCAAGATACCGAAGACTGTCGGTATTCCTGGCCGGGCTAGAGGACGCTTAGTCGTGGTCTTGTTTGAAGAGACAGAGACGCCGGACTGCGATGCTGGGGAAAGCCTCGAGGGTGGTGCCGGAGCGTGCAGTGGGATCGACTTCGAGAAATCGAAACCCGCTGCCCGCGATAACCGTGACGAGCATGGCATCGGATCCGGGGCATCATTGAGGTCGACATCGACATCGAACTTGCGTTTCTTCGGCGACATGCTGCGACACTGAAGAAAGGCCGGAGGTGTCATTTCGGTCGATCGTTTGCGCTTGGAGTGGATGTCGAATTGCGACAACCAGCATTCGATTGCCGCGGCGGAACTGTACGTTAGTGGTTTTGCATCGTTGGGCGAGATATAGCAACGTTGGAGTTGGAATGGCGAGGTGATGTTTTGTTGTTGGTTACTACCCCAGATTGTGTTCCACAACAAGCACAAGGTTAGCCTCCAAATTGCTGGGGAAAAAAAGAAAAGAAAGAAAAGAGGAAAGAAAGAAAGAAAGAAAGGAGGAAAGAAAGAAAGAAAAGAAAATAATGCGCGAGAGTGTGGATGGATGTTTTACGGTCCGCATAATAACAGGTGCAGCCAGTCCATTGAGCAAACAATACATCCTCCTCAACCTTTCTCACGCAGCCTAACACTTCTCGTTCTCTCGTGCAAGGCAACAACATCAATATGCTATAGCACCTTTACCATGAGATGACGAGATGGCTCTGTCAATGTACCAAGTCCGACATTTCTGTCTCCGTATTAAAGCAACCGAAGACCAAGATAAGTAATCTCTGTTTACAAACGTAATCTTGCTATGAATGCTGCTGTCGTCTTGGTCGCCGTTTTGGGGGGATCGTTCAAGTATGTACGTCTGAGATTTGTGTCAGGGGGCTAGGCATGAGCGTCTTTGCAACGAGGTGCAAACGACCTGCCCGCTCGACGAGTTGAGCATGGTGCACCAGATCAGTTGCTCAATATCGCCGTAGCACAGGCCTAATATATGTATTATATGCTGTTCCCTATACGCTAGCCTTCCCAGTACCTATGTCCAAACATTTCCGTCAAACGTTTTGTATCCCTTGCCAATGTGGGTAACCCGCCCTTGAGGTCTCGGGTTCCGCTGCCCCCGTCGGTTGCAACGTATTCGCAAGACTCCAGACGCCTAAAATGACCGAGACAATGGAAGAGAAATAAATACATGCGAGCCGCAAGACTAATAGTTAAAAGTGTGCAAGAAAACCAAGCGAAAATGCATAATGGCAACAGAAGACACAAGTCAGAGACCACGCTTGAGTATATGCAAAACGACAACGATAAAAGGACTAAAAGAAAAAATGTGGTATAGTTGAGCAGAGCAACCGATCGATTCGCAACCCCAGATTTCCAACTCTTTGATGGTTCAGTATCATGCTTCGAAACAAGAAGAAGAAAGAAGACCAACCCGCCCGCTACGCAACATCAATCATTACAGGCTCCGATCTGGCTCTCCCAATAACAAAAACAGAAACGTCAAGTAACAGCACGCATTCGATACCGCCGCTCATATTGCTAAAGACGCCGGCGCAGTTAGCATATCGCTCGCAAGTCCTCCAACGCGGATATGAGACGGGGTCGCAAGGAACACACCTGTGCGTCCGGCGGTTGCGTCATCTTATGCATCACATGCCAAAACAACCAGGTCCCGGCCAAGCCGGCGACAATACAGGCGACGGATAGCTGGGGGATGCTGGGGTGTCCGTTGTACATGACAAGCCGGAGGAGATCCCAGATGGGGTCGACCCCGTCGATGAAATGGTGGTGGTTTGAGGGAGGGGACACGACGCGGGCGATGAGGGCGAGCACAGAGACAATCAGGACGATCACCACGGGGCAGACCCGCCGGGGAAATATCGTGTTGCCGGCGCGTTTCAAATGACACAATTTCGAAAAACACATGCCAGCGATGAGCGGCTTGCAGGGGTGGCAAGTGAGTTTCGCGTCCGCCGTTGGGGTTGGGATTGCGGTTGTGGACATGTAGGACTGGCCGCCGCCATATCCATATCCATAACCCCCGGACCCGGACGAGGGTATGTAAGTATTGTTGTAAGTCGTGGATGGGTCAGGGTGTTGAACGGAGTGGCTAGCCTGGGAGGAAGGTCCAGACAGCGACTCGCCTTGACTTATACTCAGACCGGGAACTACCGACGGAGGCGCCGACGGGTCGTCCACCGTGCCCCAGTACCACATTTCCCACTGAGCTGGTTTTTGGCATTGGATGCAACGATTTGTAGCTGGGATACACGACTCCTGGTATCGGCAATCGCTGCAACCCCAGGTGTGATACTGCCCGTAGAGGCGGGCATGATCAGCTGCAAAGTGTTGCTCCAGGGCTGGTAAATTGGGAAATCGCTGACCGCAATGCGAAAGGCTAGATGCGTAGTTTCCCCCAAAGCAAACCCAGTGCTGGCTGAGCGGCGCGAGCTGTTTGCCGATTGCCACGGGCTGTGGGCCCTGGGGCCCAGGAATAAGCGTGTATTGAATGGTTGGGTTGGAAACGGGCACTTGTGAGCCTGGAAATATGGACAGAAGTGGCGCCAGGTCCGGTCGAGGGTTGAATTGGGTGTTCTGAGACAAATCGAAGTCCAGAAGGCCGTCATCTATCACACCTTGAGGGTTGTCCGGAAGATGGTGATACGGCAGGTCGCCAATGGGGTTTTGTCCACCCCCCACACCGGCGAGGTCGGCCGGGCTACCGAGGCGTGTTTGATATGGAGTGGTAGACTCGGCATGGAAGTCGGCATTGACGGGTGGGCTGGTAGTCTTTTGCTTGGCGGCTTGGTACGCTTGTTCGAAGAGGGTGAGTATATGATGGTCCTTGCACTAGTAGGCGGTCAGTAACAGTGATGATAAAAAGGGGGAAGTTAAGTACGGCTGTCTTACCGAGACTCTGCGTTCCCGACAGTCGGGGCAGGCGCCTATCTTGCGCATCAAATTCGCCCTCAGCTGCTTTATTGGTTTCAACGGCCCCCGGCGGCCGGGTTTCTGCTTCCCGGTTTGTGACTGATCTCCAACGTCCATCTCACCCATCGCATGTGAGACGGAGTAGGTAGTGCTCGCATTGGAGGGCGACCGTGACGAAGTTGCTCGAGACGGTGAGGGGGGGTGGAGATGGCCAGCGTGCATGTTCTGCATCTGTCTCAAAGTCTCTTCGTTAAGCCCTTCTTCATAGGCTTGTCGCCATTTGTTGTACAGTTCCTGGGTCTCAACGGTGGGCACAATGAGACGACCGGTGGTCGTGCCGGTTTGTGGCGCCATGCGATGAGAGGGTTCCCGGTAAGAGGTGTATTTGCGTTTCGAACCCTGGGGCATGGTGGTTTTGAGGCACGAGGCTGCCGAAGTCGGCCTGTGAACTATAACAATTCGCGACAAGACGCCCCGAGAACAGTATAAGAAAATATAAAGAAAGAGGAGTTAGGATAAGTAGAAGAAGTGAAGACGGACTCTAGCTCTAGAGTTCAAGATTCCAGACACAAATGAAATCAGAGAAACGAAAAAGGGTGGCAGGCTGGCCATGGGGCACAAGAACCTTATGAATTGAAAGAGTTAATGTATGGTCACTAGACCTTGCAAGGCAGAACGTGACGGGGGCGCGGACACTGCCTCGTTTTACCATCCGGGTGCGCAAAGGTAGACCAAGGCTGCAAGCAATGAAGCCCCGACCAACCCCTGTCCAAATGGCGAGAAGGTGAATAGGTTTGGGAAAAAAAAAAAATGAAAAAAATGAAAGACTACCTGGGTCAGAGGGGAGCGCGGCTGGCAGGTAGCACTGGTACCCGGGCGATTGGGATGAGGGATGCGGGTTCAAAACGCGGCCTCCCAAGTTGATGGACGAGAAAGGTGACAGCTGAAAGGTAATCAGAGAAGCGAAGGGACAGTTTCATCGGGAATTGTAAGCGTTAGGTTAGTAGGGGGGCCAACACATCAATCCTGTTGTCCTATAGGACTCGACACCACCTTACAGACACAGCGAATTTCCTTTTTCACAACTCGGTGGGGACGAGGCGAGACCATAGTTCGCGCACCACCGCCTTCGGGCATCGAAGTTGGAAGCGATGTTGGAACGCCCTGCACAACAACAGTCTGCAGAGTGGGGGAGGGGTTCAGATGTGCTTACATAACTAATGTGGGTAACTAGGTGCATAACTAACTAGTTAACTAACTAGTTAGTTACATAGGTAAGTATGTGGCTATCCCGGTAGATACATGTACATGCCCCTACCCATTCTGGCACTCCCGTGAAACCAAATGTCAGGACCCTAACTGAGAGTAGGATGTTGGGATGACGATGCCACCCTCTGCCGCTTAATCGATCAGAGACATTTTCATTTTTGAAGACCGATACGATCGGTCCAGGACGGTTTCTGCCGTCTCCGTCCCGTTCCCTGCCCAATGCTGTGTTTTGTACAAAGTCCCCAGCCTGAAATCCTTGTCTCATCTGTTCCATTCCATTTTGTTGGTCTTGCCCATGTCCATGCAGAATACAGGGGCTCAGCCCTATGGCCCTGACGTCGTCGCGCCATCCTGGTCGTTAAATAGTTTTAACTACATAAATACAGGGATTCTGACGCAACGCCACGATCCACACCGTCCGATTCCTGTGTGGGAGGGGCCCTGAGGGGCCCAGCGGCATGGCGTTGGCTCATTACCAAATCCCATAAAATCGTGGCAAGGCTGGGGAGAAACCGACAGCGCTGGAAACCCGGGAAGCTGCTAACTACACACATCGCCATTATGATTCCGCAGCACCGTATGGCTCACAGACTTCCAGGTGAACCGGATTGGTGCCCCATTGAGTCGAGCCATCCCCACGGCGTCTCAAACCGAGCATTTGATAGCACAGATGATAACGGGTTAGGCTCCTTGAATGACTGGGAGTCGTAACACAGAGATATTGCGGCGAGGGCTTTGGGGCGTGGTGATATCTCTGGGGCCGCCTCCGATTGGCTCGTCGCACGATCTTGGGAGAACCTCGCATGTGCCCCTTGTACCGCCGTCAAAGTTGCTCCCCGCCTCTTTACCCTCCAGTCCGGTGATAGATGGTACATACAACGGCGGTAACAACTCACTCTCCCCAACGCCAGTCTTGGTTGAATGACACATCGGTCTCATCCAGATGTCACCTCTACGTGATTTTGCCGAGGAATGAAAGGGTAGCCTGCGAGGTCCAGAAAGGGGCCGAGAACGCGTGCGCCACACTGATGCCAGGTTTTTGTCTTTTGGTGGGCTAGTTTTGCTCACGTTTCCATCATTCTCCATCTAAAGATGATATGCCACACCGTCCGCACATGAATACACCAGCCACTGAATGCGAAACAGCATGCAAGGCGGCAGCCCAAATGTTGCTAGATGAGGCCGGGGTCTTGTGCCTCGTCATAGAGACCGAGCGGAACTGGAGATCATCGTGGGGCCAAAATGAGGCTCAACTTCAGCCAGGGCGCGTAGTCTCCAACAAATCATGCGCCTCCCTACTCCAAGGGCCACCCCCTTTTGCCGAGGCAAAGCCGGGAAACTTCATCTTCCTTTTGGGACGCTCGCTCGTGGAAGGCTCCGGGTGTGGCATCGCGGGTGGCCGGACACCTCTGAGTGCGGGAATAGGTTCTACGGGCAGGATTGACTGAGGAACTCGGCCCGCAGCGTCGGATTTCAATGCAGCCTTACGACCACGGGTCGCGGGGTTCGCGATCCTGCGCCGAGTAGGCCCGACTGCTTGCGCGTCTAGAATATGCTCGGCGGTGCTTTCAGTCACACCAGAACCAATCCGGATACTGGAAATGTCGCCCATTGGCCATTCAGGCTGTTCTGAAGGACCAAGCAAATTTTCGTGTAACTGTGGCCGCAGGGGAATAATATCAGGCGGTTGCTCCTGGCTGGCTCTCCCGAGTGTTGTCGTCGATACATCAGCTTCCTTTTTGGGGGCTCCGATGCTGGGATGAGGAACACAACCTTCCACCGTTGTGTTTCCGGGTCCCTCAACGACCCCTTCACCCGACCCAGTACCGGGAATTGTGTCGCACAGAGGGAGAATAGGTGAGATAGCCCTGGGTAAGACTTTTCGTGGTAAAGACGTTTGGGCCTCGGTGGTGTCTCTTGCAGAGAGTGGCGTCTCGTCCGGCACTGGAAACACTCTGCTCACGGGGGCTATAAGACCATGGCTTCCTGTTGATTCATTTGCCGCCGAATCGAAAGTCTCGGGAATCACAGTGGGCCGGAATGGATTCGCTAGATTGGAGAGGGGAGGGCTGGAGGGTACAAACCCAAAAACCTCCCTACTCCTGATACTCTTCCTACTGAGCTTGGCGAGACGTGGTTTGACCGGTGGCCGAGGTACTTCTTCACCGCCAGTCCCAGCTGAGTCTTCTTTCCGTGCTTTCTTCTTCAAGCGGCCCGAGCCCTGATCATCCGGGCTGGCCTTACGCGTCCGCCGTGGGGATCCTAGGATTGCGGGCTCCTGAGGAAGATTTGTTGGGGGTTGTTCTGGTTCGAATTCTAACGATCGGTTTGGTTCGTTATGCGGATGTACGCGCCCCTCGCCCCTTGAAGCTAACTTCCGATTCGGTGGAGAAGGTGACAGATTCCCCGTTCGGTCATAGATGCTGAGCATGTTATTGTGGTCACGTTTCGGGGAGTCCGATTGATCCAAGTTTGGTGGGTCCACTGGTTTCGCTGCGCGCCCAATTGAGTCGCCATCTGCGATACACGACGTAGAATCCGTGGTTTGACACCCGGTGTCATCTTCGAGTGGGATATCTTGATGCCCTTGAGAGAGGGGTTGTGGTGGGTCAGGCTCCAATGTGAGGATCTCAGGGGCAACTGGCAATGGGCTAAAAGTGTTACCGTGTTGCGCAATGGAGGCAATATCAGTGGTTCCAAGGCAGGCTGTGAGGCTCGGCCCAATGGCTGCTGAGATGGTGGGCGGCTGGAGAGGTTTGTCCGTAAGACTTGGCCCGCTGGCAGATGTACTCTGTCGCTTGTTTTGCTTTGGCCGGTCTCTCTTTTCGGAGAGAAGCAAGAGGCCACGTTTTTGCCTAGGCTTGAGCCGCAGCTCTGTTCTTTCCTCGCTGGGTGACCGATCTTCGGCTTCATCTTCCGCCACCACCGCCCCCGATTCTACGGGCTGGGGGCGAGCTGTCGACTGTAACGATTTGTTACGCTTTGAAAGCCTGGTTGAATTTCGTGGAAGACTGTATTGCGGTTCAGCCACGCTCCCTGGTCTTTCCTGGCGTTGGAAGGACGGGGCCTCGGCACCCGCTCCGGAGTGCGGGTCCTCATTCAGGACAATGGCTTGCGAGCGCGAGCTTCCTAAACCCGAGACAACGGTTGCGCAATTGCTGGTAACAGTTTCGGTTTGATCCGTTACGGATGTCGGCTGTGGGTTTCGTTTCGTTTCTGGCTTGTCAGATCTTCGAGGATTCATCGTTTGTCCGTTCAAGATTGCTGGAGGCTTGCCATTGCCGAACGAGGTTGAAAGTCGGCTGTTAGCATCTGTTGGTTGCAGAGTAGTGCTCTGATGACAATTCTGGGTTGTGCCCACGGGGCGAGGGGGGCCTAGATCCGTTGACATGAACCCAGTCTTCACGTTATGTTCATCCACGGCGCTCCGATCATCATCATAGAGTGACCTGGGCGGAGGTACCAACTGTTTCTCCATAACAGAACAGGCACGCGAGTCGGCGCCATCAGAACGATCCCGGCCTTCCTGAACATGGCGCAAATCCTGTCCGACTTCTTGAGATGAGGTCACTGACTGTGGACGAGACACAGAATTGGCTGGCCGTCGTGGAGGGGCCGAGCTAACGGGAACAGCGGACAAAGACAGGGTAGCACCAAACAAGCTCTGAGCATAGCCCATCTTGCTCGGTGGTGTAACATCCCGTCTTCTCCTTTTTGAGGGACGTGGCTCGGTACAGCCGTTTGAATTGTCGTTGGCCTTCTGCCGCAGTTCGAAGGGAGACTCATGCGGAACCAAAGCACGGCCATGATGGCCAGTCGGAGTTCCCAGAACGTGGTTTAGGGGCCGGTGCCGGGTCTGAAAGTGGTCTTGCGCACGAGGTGCAGCCAGGGGGGTATTCGGTGCCGCTGTGGCAGGGGCCGGACGTGTCCTGACCCGTGCCTGGCGCTGTTCCTTTTCTTTCGCCCTCTTATCCAGCAACTCGGACAAGTCTTGCTCCTGACGACCGACGCATTCCATCACCTGTACGATAACCCCGCCGCGCTCCAGCTGGACTTCTTCGCCTTCATCGAAGTCCTTCTCTCGCTGCCAATGAAGGTCTCCCACGAAGTTGCCCCGTTCATCGTAGACCATGGCGCGTTTATTAAAGGTGTGGTATTTAACGCGGCCATCTTCCCATCTTTTTTGTTTTCTGCGGAGATCGTGGGTGAACAGGCAGATAAAATCGAGGACATACGCGCTGCGTCCGCCACTGCCCGGGTTCAAGGACCCCGCAGAGATCGGCCTCGAGGATAGCATGGGCGGCGTGTTGGGCAAACGAGGACTTTTCGATCATCGCATTATATCGGATTTTCTTTTTTCTTTTTCGTTTTCGTTCGTGATGATTTTGTTCGAGTGCCTGTTGTTGCCCGCAATGCGCAGCTTTGAATTTGTCGCGGAAGCGTGCGAGTGACCTTGGAAGGCGCGTTTGTCGGCGACGCGCGCTCACCTGACCCAAGGAGTCAGTTAACGAAGCCCCACCTTCCCACTTGTGAAGTAACAAGGATCATGGTTGGCTCAAGGACCTTGGCACGACTTCCCCCTCGCCCCGCTTCAAGGTGCCCCTTGATCACGGACCAACGGTTCCATTTGGTGCCATTCCCGGTTATTTTTTGTCACTTCATTCGCAATCAAGAGATGCAAAGACTCTCGAAGGATGGATGGTTCCAGTCGGTGGGGCGGGAAGACCGCCACTGAAGGAGTCAATTCCATGTCCGCTTTGCCTAGAACCCCTCTTTGGTGTCCAATTCAGAGCTCCCAGTTTCAGACTTACAGTTCCATTTGCCCTTCATCTTCATGCACGGGCCGAGTGTGTTTGGAGGCTGTGCCGCTCGGAGGAACATGTCCAGACGAGCTCTCGTCTTGTCCAACGTGTGATACATTTGATGCATGTGCCGTCGGTCGTATTTCTTTTCCGGCCGTCCCTTTTTCCTTCTCTCCGCTCGGCCCCAAACATCCCCCCCCTCGACGCACTGGGGCTTTTTTTTCGACTGGCTCCTTCGGAGACTTCAGTTAGCTTCTGGCTGCCGCCTTCCGTCGCGACATCACATCCCACTCGTAAACGCGGCGCGACGCTGGCCTCCCTGAATCGCCTCAAAGTGATATCATCCATTTTCACTTCTTTCAATACTGATACCATCCACATCCTCTAAAATGCAGTCAATGCAAAGACAATTTGGCAAGATCCTAAACAAAGGACCCGGAGAAAATGCCAAGGTCGCTGTTCTTCTGAACGACTACGAAGACGCTGACCATGTCCTCTCCCAGGTAGGTGATTCAAAAACTACCTAACCGATTGTGTGGTCGCGCCGGTTGCAGCCCCGCTAACCTTGTCGATCGACCTAGATCATCGACAACGCGAGGATGTGGAGGGATTCGTGGGCCGCCCTTACCAACACCCAATTGCAGGTGGTAACCGAATATGAAGGCCTCTACGACCCCATCGCCGGCGCTTCGGACGGCCAAAGTCGGCATGCCGTCCCGACACCGCAACTCCAACTCGAGCGCACGTTCAAACTGAAGAAGGCGTACACCGAACTGAAGGCAGAATTAGTGGAGGAGATGGCCCTGATCGAGGAGCAGATTTTAAAGCCCGCGACGGATGCGCGCACCTGCATTGCGCCGATCCGCAAAACCATCAAGAAGCGGGAGAACAAGAGGGTAGATTACGAGAAAGCACAAGATAAGACGTTGAAGCTCCAGCGGAAACCAGGCCGGAACCCTAAGGAGGAGGCCGCCTTGGCAAAAGCCGATGCCGAAATGTCACGAGCGGCGGACGTGAGTCCCCCTTGGCTCTGTACGACTGACCTCGAGAGCCTGGTACTGACAAGAAGAGATAGGAATTCGGTATCGCCGACGAACATCTCAAAGAAACTCTGCCGCCAATCATCCACGCAACATTCAGTCTCGTCACCCCGCTGCTCTCGAACCTGGTGATGATCCAGAACCGGTTACTAGGATTGTACTACACGACACTACACGGTTACTGCGAGGAGTTTGGTTTCCCATCGCCGCCGCCTCCAATGGAAGAGGTGGTCGCCATCTGGAACGGAGCCATTGGTCCCACCCGTAGCCAGATTGAAACCATTAGCTTCATTGGTACCCGCGGTAAAGTGACGCAACCACCGACTAGCAGCCTCTCTCCAAGACCAGGACCAGCCCCCTTGATCAATGGGCCGCGTCGCTCCGTAACAGGCCTCATTTCCGGCCCTCAGGCGCGGACCTTGCGGGTTCCATCGATGCCGGTGGACCGCAGCCGGACGCCCTCCCCGTCCAACTCCTACAGGCGTCCTGACATCTCCAACGCAACGGATTTTACGACGGCGACCATTTTAGGCGGAGCCGAGGTTGCCCGGTCTGCGAACCCAGCACCGGGCCAACAACAACAGCAACAACAACGACCCGGCTACTTCCGCACCCCGTCGCCCGCAGCGTCCCAGGCCAGCAGCATCGGCGGCAGTTTTAGCGGCAGCAACGGAGGTTTTGCGGCACTCGGCAAGAAGAAGCCGCCACCGCCGCCGCCGAAGCGGAAGCCGGACGAGTGGGTCGTCGCACTGTACGCGTTCGCGGGCCAGGGCGAAGGGGATCTGTCGTTCCAGGAGGGTGATCGCATCAGGGTGGTCAAACGGACGGGCACAGATCAGGATTGGTACGTTTCTAACCCCCACTCTTCCACACTTTACCCCATTACCACTTGTTTATAAACTCCGGGGATGGTGCAGGCACGACTAACCTCGTGTGAAATAGGTGGCTTGGAGAACTGGGCGGCACGCAGGGTAATTTCCCCGCCAACTATTGCCAGCCTCTTTAACGGTCTCTCCTACTTCCTCGTCTGCGTTGTGTTAGGTCGTCATTGTCTATGAGTTAATGACCCAAGTACTTTTTTTTTTTTTTTTTCGCTTATAGGGGAAGGGAAAGGCACACGGTTTCGGGTCTTGGTAAGTACGGAAAGGTTTGGACAAATGAGGGTTGAGAAAAATAAAGAAGTGGGAAATTATACGAAAAGGGTACCGTAATAAGGGACTTAATTTCAGCGGGAGGGCGGTATACATAATGACAGCGGCGGTCTTTTCTCCGACCATCAATTATTAGTGTTTTTCTATCAGGAATGACTACCAATTGGGGCATTCAACTTATACTGGCAGTGCGGTTAGGGTCTATCGTGTTTTGTTCATGGCAGTTTGTGCTGTTGTAACTGCCTCAAGCGGCAACCGAATGCTTTGTGAGAGGTAATTACTTCGGATAACCCAAAAATGAAATGCTCAAAAGTTGTATAACTGCAACCGTGTTTACCATCCAAAAAGCCCCGTGCCCCAACCATGTGTGCTCTCATCTCTCAACACCACCCCGTCACCGTCTATGTGTGGGTATCATAATTCGAATAGACGGAAAGAAACCAAGCAACCGGCCTTGCCATTCCAGCGGTCGGCCACTCTCAAACCGACGCGGCAATCATATCGAGGGGTGACGACCGAGAATCCTTCCGACGGTGCTTCCCCTTACCGCCCGCCTTCCTCTCGTCCCGCACCTCCAAGCCCGGGAAGCCAGAGTCCGTCCCACCGCCCACCGACGACGGGCCAAGACTCAGGTAGGAGTCCGCTTCCAGCGACATGGGCGTCACCGGGCCGGGGCTCCCAACTGGCGCTAGCCGCGGCGAGGGCGGCTTGTGCGTCCTCAGAAACGTGGCAGCAAGTTGGCCCTTCGGCAGCGGCACTCCACTCGGGTACGATGCCGTTGCCGAACCGGTAGACCCGGTGCTGGCGATGAGCGCATTGGCGGCCTGCGCGACCATATCTCGTTGGTATTGCAGCAGCCGCCTTTTGACGTCGGACACGGGCCGGTGGTGGTGCGTTTGGTCGCCTTGAAACTTGGGGACCTGTGGCTCGGACCTCATGGTGGACGCGGCAGGCTGCACCATGACCGAGGGCCGGGTCTGTGGCGATTTTCCATGTCGGCTTTCCCAGTTAGATGGGTAGTACTTCCCCATGGGGAGGGCTACGTCGTCATAGAGGCCACTGGGTATATATGAAGAGATGTGGGCGTCGAGAGATATCGATGCAGTTGTTTGCTTGCTCGGAGGAGGATGTGGGGGCCGGGGATCTATTCCAGATTTGCTCGACTCGGCGGCCCGCCGTATAGAGTCCCGCCGAGCCATGTCGGCGTCGAGGTGGAACGGGTGGGGGATATGGACTCGGGAGTCGGGGTCTTCGTGCAGTGGAAAGTACCCTCTATCCAGCAAACCTAAGTTAGCAACCAGAATACCTCACCCGTCTCCGGAGTACGCCGGTTATTAAACAAAACATAACGTACCCAGGAACGTCGCCTCTTGCCGATAGAGGAGGTGGGGGGATGGAAGCGGATGCGACGGACGCAGCAGAGGTAGTGTCAGGCTTCCGCCCTCCAGGCAGTTCAATGGCAATCGGCTTGATGTTGCTGCTCGGACCAACTTTCAGGCGGCTTGGTGATGTTGGATAAGTTCCCGAGTCTTGAGCGCGAGTGTTAACTTCGACTATGGGGAAGATGGGATCAGCGTCAACCCGACTCGAGATGAATGGATGCGATGGAAAGTCGAAGCCAAGAAATGGGACTCGATGAATCAGAAGTTTGCCTGCCCCCTATGACGCAGTGTTCAAGACCCGGACCCTGGCCAACGTGGGGGGGTTCTCCACAGCGGCCACTTCCCCGCTAGAGGGTCTCAACGGGCTGTCCCATTGCCCCACAGCATCCAAATAAAATCCCCCGCGGAGTGTTTCACTAAAATACCACCCCAACACACCATCGAAATCATGGTCTCGAAAAAAAGAAAAGAAAAATAAAGAGAGTGAAAAAAAGGGGTAAAATAAATGTTAAGAGCGACCTACCTTTCCCCAGGAGGAGACCATTCCTCGCTGCGGTGGGATCTGTTGCAAACCGCGGAATCATGACTCGAGCCGGGGCGTTCTCGTGTGCAGGCGTCTGAGTTGGAGACAATATGAACTGGTCCTCTGAACCGTGGGATTTATGTGAGGCGTTGGACGACTGCGAGTCTGCAGAGGAGCTGGAGTCTGCCCTCTGGTGCAAGGGACGCCTTGGGGTTGGCAACGGCAGTCTCCAAGAATGAGTATGACCTTCCATTTCGTGAGGGTGATGTCGGTTGCGGGCCACGGCGTCATCAGCATGCAAGTGTCTGCACTTGTAATTATTCCTGAACAATACAAGATATCAGCGGAAAAGTTTTAACAAACACGGCATCAAATACACAATAAAAAGGGTGGAGTTGGAAGGAAGAGGAGGCGAAAAACAAAGAGTCGCTTCTCATAAAACCTCCGTCGGTCGGCAAGCTTGGACCCAGAGCACCCCCCGGGTCGCCTGGCAGACTTCGGGAAGGGGCATTTATACGTACGAATAGAGCCTCTTGTTACAACCCTGTGCCTTCTCGTCGGCTCGCGACTAGGAAGCCCAGCGAAGGATGATATCAATATTGATAACTGTTTCGTTCAAGTATACGCACGCATCTGGGTCCGATCAAGTCGAGCTGTCGTAGGAGCAAGTCGAGCATAAGATAGGTGGACGACGTGAAGGGTTGATCGTTTGACGTATTTTTCCCGTGGTGAATGGGGAGCCCGGTCATTCGCATTCGCCGAAGTGCGTTTGCTGTGAGGCTTCGGGCATCAACAGTGCAAGTCCGCCCGAAGCACTGGACTTGAGCAAGTGGCGAGGAGTCTCATGGGTGTCGGAAGATGATCAGCCTGGTGCTGACGGGCCGCGTATTAGGCTTGTGGAAGTTGGTCTAAAAGGCATGGTAAAAGGTTTGAGCGTTAAGATCAGAAAGTTCAAAAGATGTGCAGGCTCCTGGTGGGCGTTTGCTCTTCATATTCCACCCCTCCACGACCCCGGCTGCCTGGGGGGCGGATGATGGGATCCCTTCCCTGTGACGAGGATTGTCGTACTGCCCCACCACACACTGAACCACCCTTGCAAGGCCTTGTTGCTCTCTTTGTATGTAACTTTTTGTTTGCAGTTACATGCATGTATCTCCAAGGTTGCCAAGTTGCCTTTAAGGGGCACAAGAGGGCCGGCTCACTGGGCAGTGTTCGCAGGATTTGGGTAGACTTGATTCTGCGCAACACGGTTGACAAGGGGATGCAGAGATGGATGGCTCAGGCGATCTTGAAGCCACATGATGAAATCTTCTAGGTTGTTGCTGATAACGGTGCCGAAAGCCCGAGACGGGCCCACCTCACAGCACACGAGCGTGGCCTCGAATTGGGGGAAAGTCAAAGATCACCCAAGAATAAGCTGCTTGTTGACGATGAGCCCGGATTGCGCGGGGACGCCATAATGTACGTATGTACTGATACCCTGGAAAACACAACATGACGGGCAATGCCATGCGAATGTCGTGTGTGGTTGTGTGTTTCTGTTCACTGACCCTCGAACCCGTGGTTGGGTGGAAATCGATATCCTGGGTGCTGATCATGGCAACTTTCGTAAGACAGATGGAGAGTTTTGGCTGCAACATGCCGCGAAATTCCAAGAAGCAGACTCCAGACTCCAGAGCCACCCTCCCCTTCCGGGCATCGCATCCCTGTAGGCATGCTCGGCATGGCATGAAGTGGTGCCGCAGAAGAAGGGGCGTTTGGGTAGTATGTGGATTGGGCTCTGTGCTGCTGTCTCGCGATCGCCATCCTGCGGGGGAGGGTTGCACAAAAGGGGATGGAGGCAAGAGGTTAGCTGACGCACCGTCCAGCAGCTCACTGGTAAGGAATATTGCTAACGCTAGTTATTGACCGTTCGCGCACAGGAAATCTCGGGAACCGTTGTCTCAGCAGCGACGTGGCCCGATGTGCGGCATCGCCATGATTCCACTCGAACAACAGCCCACAGATGGGCGTGTTGGTTCCCGGCTTCGAGACAGGAGACCGGCAGTGGCCGCTGATCTTTGTCAATCTTTGGGTCTTTTCTGCCGTCGCGAAAGCAGCTGCTTCAAGGGTCGCGAGCCGTCCGCTGATCCCGAGTTGGTGTGACTCGAGTGTGGGAATATGGAGGTTGAAATGGCGGTGCCTCCAAGCAAATTTGAGTGATCGTCAGCTTGGCACTCAAGTGCCTGACCCCAGGCGACCCGTTGCCGACCTCTCCCCCCCATTCAGGGCCTGAACTCGTCGAGCCTGTCAATCCACACACGTTCTCACCGAACAACGAAGAAAATCATTCCTTTATAATGCACATGTCTCTACTAGAGGCTGCAGAGAAAAAAATTTACCAAATTAAAGTTATCTCCGCAGTCCAAGCCCCATGGATGTCGAGGGGGACTGTGTTTGTTTCGAGATGGTCTGCGCAGTACGCACGCAACATGACGTCACCACGTAGGAGCGGAGAGTCCCTCCCCCACGGCGCTTCACCCCCATGTATGCGGAAGTATGTATATACATTGCATAGCCCTAACTTTGGTGTTTTGGTGTTTTGGTGTTTTTGGACTGGGGAGATATGAAGATCATACTACATCGCCACTATCTCTGTTCTTTGCGTCCCGAGACCATTGCGACGGGCGATACTGCAAGAATCCTTCGGTTGGGGGTCAAAGGCCAACAGGAACACACATTACCAAGTGTTGGGGAAACAACATGACAAGCCATACCAAGTATTATGTGGCGCAGCGATATTAAAAATATACAATAAGTAATTATGGGGGTATTAGAATGCACCGCATCAAGTATTCGTATCATGATATCATCGCCCTTGAAGGGTCCCGTTCCTGCGGTAGCGTACCTGTGGCGTTTCTCCCAGAAACTGAACCTTTCCTAGAGGATACCGTCCAACTGGCTGTCGCCCTAACACTTCTCTGCCAGAGACTGTATGAGAATTTATCCGGAGCATGCCTACACCTTTGCACGGCTGGTGAACCGGCTCCTGCGCTCCCGATGGCCCCACCAGTAAATAAAATGCGACAGGACGCCAATGAGCCACAAGATAGCATTCGCGAGGACCACCCATACCGCATTCTTCATTCTCTGGAGGTCACCGTTCCCATCAGCATCTTCGTGGATGTACATCTAAACCGAGTTAGCTGTATATCACGTTGGCATGGGGGGCCAGAGAGGGAACCCACCTTGCCGACAATGCCAAAGAGTGCGATCCAGAGAATGAAGAGGATCAAATTCCAGGCCCACACCAAGGCAAAGCGAAGGACAAAGGGGACGCAGAAGAGGATGGCCGTCAGGGCGGAGAGACCACCCACGACCTCGGCGTATATCCATTTCCCATCAGCATCGACGTTGGCCTTCCGGGCGCGGTCGAGGTCAATGCCATAAAGAGCGCAAACTGTGACTGCGAGGACGAATTGAGAGAAGTGTAGAAGCGAAAAGAGCAGGTAGCTCAGCGATAAGTCGCCGATGGCCATCTTGGCGGTTGATAGTTGGCGGTTGGTGGCGGTTGGATTGCGCACCGGCCGAGGGCGTCCCTAAACCCTGTTTTGAAGCGATGTTTGAGCGTATCGTCGACGCGTGAAAAGGAGAGAGGGGGAAAAGAGGCCGAAAGCCTGGAGACGGCGGCGCCTCGATAATTAATCGGTGGGATACTCCTCAGTCAGTTGAGTTTAGCGTCTATTTGCCAAGCGGAACAGCGCAGTCGTGATCGGCAGCGACCCAACAGACGATGGTCAACTAGTGCAGCGTCTAAGCACAGAAAAGATGCGCTAGTTAATCAACCGAGGCCGCAACATGACACACGGAATCACCACTTTAAAGAAGTTCATAACACATGAGTTACTGGGGACATCAAACTGGCCTTCTTGAAACAGGTCCGGCCATGCCAACGGCGCCGGCTACGGGCCATCCATCCATGGGTTCCATTTGCCGAATGACGAGATGACGTTGTTGCATGATAGGGGAACGAAATGCTCTTTGTTCCATGGCAGGGCTGATGTGGCCCAAGCTCCCTGGGCCATCAGGCAAAAAAAAACACGAGGCTCCAAATTGGCACAGACCCCCACTTTGCCAATTCGGCAATCGGATCAACAACAACAAAGAAGCAACAACATGTTCCCACATCGTTTTCTCTCACCCTCTTGCGCCCGCATACCCTCAGGGTTGCAGTGCGGATGGCGCTTGCGGCTCAGGCTAAGAATGATGCATGGCTCGAAGGAAAAGTTCAAGACCTGCTGCAGACCTACCCAGGCAGGGAGGTACCCACGTACCTGGGCACCAGGCACCTGCCTCCCCACCACCTACCAAGCCACACCGAAAGTTCAACGACCTACAGCCTTGTCTCCCCTGTCTAGTTCTGTCGGGCACCTCCCAATATCGACCGCATTTCCTTACCGGAGACCGTGGCGCATTCACGCCGAATGCGAATGGCGCCCTGTCCCCCCTCACATTCCATAGGGGAGGGCACAGCAGGCCAGTCCGACCCATCTCTCCAACACCCACCTCGGCCTTGTGAGGGCGGACAACGTGTTCTGGGCGGCAGCGAGCCCACGCAACTAGAGATCTTTCTATTTTAGCTAGGCATGAGGCTCTGCTCTCTTCAGCCTTTCGCTCTCTCCGATGTGCTGGTTTGGATTAAAAGAGCTTCAAGGTCCGCCTTCTCCCGTTCATGGGCTTTCGTTGTTGTGGGACCCATGGACCATACCTTGGAAACCCTGGAGGCCTCGGACAGCGAGACTCCATGCCTTCCGCCTCAGCAGATTTGTGTACAACCACCAAGACGGCGAAGCTGGGCCCACTGGCGTTTCCTCTCACTAGAGGTGCTGCGCTGTCCAGTGCGCTAGGACCAATCAACCTTGCCTGTGCTTCCAGGTCGTTGCCACCCAAGTTTTTGCCTTCAACGTGCTTATGGGAATCGGGAAATTAGCATCTTCGGTCGGATTTACAACGATTGTTACGCCTACAACCCGACAACGAACGAAACCTAAGGGCAACAAAAGGATGACGAAAGGACAGGGCACCGGACTTGTTCAGCCCTAGACCCACCCCATCGAGGTTGTTCCATCGCTTTTCGCATCAAATCGTCGCCGTTTTTTGAGTCGGCTCCAAAAGGTCGTTGATGGGAGCGATGTAAACGGAGAAGGCGCCGAGACACTATCGTCACAGCCAAGTGCTGACAATGAATCCTAGAAAGCCTATTCTCTGCCATTACTTGCTTCTCGTTCCGAATAGCTCCTCCTGTCTTCGCCAATGGACCGCGGACGAAGAAGCGTCATGGTTGGTCCTCGCACCGGTTTCGTTTTGGCTCTTGGTCCTGGCCGGGGGGTAGGAAAATCTCGCTGGGGCGGCACTAAGCCGCCGCCCGCCGTTGTCGCATATTTGGACCACATTAACACTCAGCCATCTTACACAGATTGGTCTCCAGTTAACAAATACCGTTTTCATCATGGCTTTGGTGATGGGTCATGGTCCGCGGTGCGCTCGTGCTCGAACTCGGCCAGGCGAAAGATTCTCAGCCATACAGAAAGCAAGGACCCGCGCTCACCGAGCCTTTCCCTCTGCCAAAAGTCGACGGGGCAATCATAAGTGCCCTGCTACCGTTGTCCTGCCTCCACTACTCCTTACCTCCAGCTCACCGACTTCACATGCCCTTCCACGAACGCCTATCAGTCGTCCATTCTTGGGGAATCTGTTTGGAATTTGGTCTGAGATTGCCTCATCATGCCTCGATTGGACATTAGGCTTCTCGTCGGTCTGGGAACGTCGCTGCGACTGCCCAGGGCAGGGGTGAACAGCTAGGTCAGAGCATTGTGTCGCCTACAATGGGAAAAACTGAGGACTTAAAAGGGCGCCGCGTGCACTCAAACTAAGAGGATATAGAACATCGAAGTCTTCACCACACTGCAGCTACCAACCTCCTTCAACTCCAGCCCGTTTATTTAATCTCCGGACAGACTCCTTCCATACCACCAGCAGAGATGGCAGTGAGTACACCTCTCATCGAAGCTCAACCGGGAGAGTCCATTTCATGCTAATCACCCCTAAAATCCAGCCGCCTGCTTATGTCCGCACCACCCTCTGGGTTTGTTGCAACTGCAAATGGACGGCTAACGCGGCGACCGCCGTCCAATGCATCAACTGCCACCACGGATTCGGCGTTGGCCACTGCACCCAGGAGACTCATGACGTCCTCGCCGGCCGCTAAACCTGGGCGCGCTATACGGCGCAGTCCAAGATCAGGACGACAACGATCATGATGGTTGACCCAGTGCCGTCCCGACACACAACACACGACAAGAGCGGAAAGGAGCGGCCATCGCTCCGCCATGGCGTTGACAGCATCACACGCCCTCGAGATCTTCCTCCCGCGGGACGGGTTCTGGATCCGGCACTGCTATCAGCATCACAACGACAAGAATGGCGGCAGATGTTCTCTCCTCCCCCCGCTGTGTTTTCGCCGGGCGTTTGGATATGAGCGGGGCTACTCGCTTAGTCTGGGTTCGGGTAGTTCGACTGAAAGGTGCCCCTGGGCGGGTTGCGGGTGGGGGGTGAGTTCTTTGGGTTTTGGGCTGTTTTGTCTTTCACTTTCTTTTCCGGTTTGTGTCACTGTATATGCAGGCTTCGGCATCACACGGTGGTTACCCGGCCCTTTGGCTCGCATCGATCCCTGAACATGTTGCTGGGGGGAGGCGGGGCTTGTTTGGTTTTTGGGGTTCGGTGGTTTTGAACATCTGTGCGCCGGCGTTTCGGATAGACTTGGCCAGAACTCATCAGAGACGCATTGCAGCGATGGCAGACGGCATTAGAAGAAACAGTATAGATTTTCGCTATTTCCTAGTTTTATACATTCCTCTCTGGCTCGTTGAGCAACTGCAAAGTCAATCCCGGCTGTGGCATCACCGTTCTTCATGGATAACATTCAGGGGTGGCTGCATAGGTTCCCGCAGCTCCCACTGGCACACAAGTCTCAGGCATGACAACTCCTGAAAAAGCTAGGAGAATGGGACTTGCGGGCGAAGTCACCCTCTGCTCCTTCGTATTTACCTTTGCCTTCCGTTGTCTCGGCACTCAACTCAAGAAGGTGAAAGGTTGTATGGTCGCGGAGCTGGAGATCCTCGGAGCGGTTCCTCGTGGTTGGCTTGAAATGGGCATGAGGAAATCGCTCGCACTAAAGTTGCCCAGGCACATACAGTCCACCCGTAAGGCTCATTCCCAGGCTCTACACTAGGTACCTTAGGTACTTACCTAGCCACGTTGAAGCATGGCCGGGAAAAAAGGCATAACTCCCTTAACTGCCTTGTCTTACCTACCCAGGTACTTCGTACCTGATAGGGATGTCTTAGACACTCAGCCTCAACAACGTGGATTTGTTCCAGACTGTCTCGCAACTGCAATTTGACCTTCCTCGTCGGTCCAGGCAACAGCCCCCCACCAGGCTGGGCGAAGCGCAGTGCTAAATCAAGGGTGGGCTGGCAAGGCGACAAAGGACAAACAGAATTGCGACCATAGCCCTCACCGATTCCTGAAACCACCATGCTTTAGGTTTGAGTGAGTTGTTCATCGCCGAGGGAAGTCAAAAGTCTGTTGGGGAATCTGTTGGGGTCTTGCGGCTCATGCGGGGCAATCTCGCAAATCGGGCTGCAGGTGATTTGTGAAACGCCTCCTTCGCTCAGCTCCTTGATTGGGCTATCTGTTTGTTTGGTGAGTGGTCAATTGGGGGAGGCCGCCGCCATTGGGCACAAATGCGGTTGTAGTTTGTCCAGTGTCGAATTTACAATTTGCCACTGCTGTGATCATGAGGTGAAAGAGTGGTTGGAACGGGAAGGCCTTGTGAGCTGTCTTGTGAGCTGTCAACCTCAGGTAGGTAGGTACCTTAGGTGGAGACTGCGACAGTGGGCAGCAAACCCCTATGCACAGGCTAGAGTAAACACGCACAACACGCCCCCAACAAGCAGTCTACCATTGGCGACCCCCACACACTTGGGTCTTCCACAGACTCGGCACCCCTCTCAAACCCCCCCCCCCCCCCCATTCTACCCGAGGTATTGGCCGCTCTCACCTACTCCCACTCAACCTAGATACCCAATACAAAAGCTGAGATATCAGACTGGGAGCCTGAGCACTGAACTGAAATTGCCCAACCAGCGCAACCAGATCTTCATTCATCTTGCATCTACTGAACCGCTTCCGAATTATTGGTCCTAGCCAACGTGACAGGTCCGGAGACAGGTCCGGAGACAGGTCCGGAAACAGACCAAGCAATGGCTCACATCGACTTACCCTCGCCTCCTTTCATACATGTCCCAGGTCTCGCCAACCTACGAGATGCCGGGGGTTATGCCATCGAAGGCCAACCGGGCAAGGCCATCAGGCGCGGCGTGCTCTACCGCTCCGCCGACCTGACCAAGCTCGAGGACGAGGGCGTCGCCGTACTGCGGCCACTGGGCATCACCCACGTATTCGATCTTCGGTCAGTCCCCGAGCTTGCAAAGAGCGGCAACCACCCGCCGAAGACCTGGGAGGGCGCCGCCCGGGTGTTTGTGCCCGTCTTCTTGGACAAGGACTATAGCCCCGAGGCTTTAGCGACGCGCTTCCGGGACTATAGTGACGGGGCCAAGGTTAGTCGAGATGCACATACCCAAGCTCTTACCAGCCGCAAATCGCAACGGGCCCGGTGGGTGCTGCAGGCGCGGACCGTTGTGACTGCAGGGAGCCACAAGGCTGGCTTGCAGGAGGGAGGGGTGGAGGGGGCGGCCACGCCGGGAATGAGGGAAAAGAGGCAAATACGCATGGGAAGCGTTGTCTACACAATGGCAGCCCGCCGTTACCCGCGCCCCTTTCCGAAACTCCCGGGGGGGTTTGGGAACGGCACGCCCCCCACGCCTTCACACACAGAGAGACAGAGATTTTTCATCTTGCATCAGCTCAACCGATACTGACAGCAGATACAGGGTTTTGTAAACGCCTACGCCACGATCCTCGACTCCGCTGCCGATCCGGACCATCCACACTCGCCCTTCCGCACCGTTCTCGAGCACATCGCTTCGTCGGCGGCGCCCTCCCCGCTACTGGTGCACTGCACCGCCGGCAAGGACAGTATGTACTCGTCGACCCCCCAGCCTTCCACCATCCATCCATAACCCCGTCTCCACGGCCAGCCTACTACCCCCGCCCCCCCCCTTTACCAAAATCTAACCCAAAAACAAAGGAACGGGCGTTTTAATAGCACTCATCCTCTCGCTCTGCGGTCTCGACGACGCCACCATCGCCCAGGAGTACAGCCTGACCGACCTCGGCCTGGCGCCGCGCAAGGAGGAGATCGTGCAGCACCTGATTCGTGGGGAGGCGCTGTTTGGGGACCGGAAGCGCGCCGAGAGGATGGTGAGCGCGCGGTAAGTTTTGCCTTTTCTTTTCTCCCTCTTTCTTTCTCGATGCCTGGTTTGCCTTCCTTTCGTGGTTACTTTTAGCGGGGTAATTTGTGGGTGCTCGTCTGGTGCTTGGTTCCTTCGCTGCCTGCTATCTGTTGTTGCGGTCGCTGCTGTGAGAAGCCGGACTGGTATACAGGGGCTTGGGAGCAGCGTGTGTTTCGCTGACTAGCCATCGCAGGAGTGAATACATGCTCGGCACGCTGGCCATGATCCGCGAGCGGTACGGGTCCGTGGAGAGCTACGTCGTCGACCGCCTCGGCGTGTCCCCCGAAAGTGTCGAGCAAATCCGGCGGAACCTAGTCGTCGATCTGGCCGAGGGGGAGGAGTCGCTGGATTGGAGGAGCCACGCCGCCGGGCTAGCGGCTCAACCCCGGCCTTAGATTGTTTGATTGGTTACAATACAAGATATAGTTGCTATACAAAGGTAGCAAGGCCGCTTTCTGCGGACTTCGTCTGGACTATCCCAGACTAAGTAATAATTCATACAAGGGCTTGCCGTTGGTGAAGCTGCCCTAAATACATACACGCACCGGCTTCCTGAAATGACTCTGACCCCCATGATCGGCCCAAGGCCTTACCCCACGTGTGTCGGGATCTTGACTTCGCCTCTCCTGCGGTCCATATGCGGCGCGCCGTACCGCCAGCCCACGGCCTTCCGCGCGCGGCCCGTAGGGCCCACGTCTTCGGCATTGATCTTCTCAAACCGAAACTCGAACCTGCCCGTGTTGACGCGCGTCTTGCGCCCCTCAGCGGCGACCGCGCGCGCGCGCTGCTTCTCCGCAAATGCCTGCTCGCTCTCGGCCGCCTCCTTGATAAAGTGCCCGCGCGCCTCGCGTTCATCCATGCCCTCGGCGATGTTCTTCTCCATCTGCACAAGCTCGGGAATGCGCATCTTGGCGTCCGGCGGCAGAATGTGCTCGCCGAACGCCTTGGCTGCGTCGGCGCGCGTGAACTCGCGCGACTCCGACGTCGGGACGAATAATTGCTGCATTGTGTGACTGTGCACATGGATGTCGTTGATGGGCTCGAACTTGTCTTCGCCATCCCGAAGGTCTTGGCGGGGAAGCATCTTTTCTATGGCGCGGGCGTAGGCATGGGCGAGGGGTTGGCCCTGACGGCAGGTGTTAGTTACCTGATACAGAGACAGAGTAGGCAATGAAAATAGCAAGCGGCGATAAATTCCATCAGACATTGAGCATTATAACCACGGTTAAGTCTTCAAGACTAATCGAATTTTTGTTGCATATCATCAGGTGGGGAGGGGCGGGGAGAAGAGAAGAGAAGGGTAAGATAACTCACCTCACGCTCATACTTCTTCTCAATCTCCATCATCCTCACCACCGCCGCGACGCGGCGCATGTCCACATGGAACTCGGCCGACACGGCTTTAAGCGGCATGCCCTTCACCATGATGGCCTCCCAGATCATCTTGCGTGCCTCACTCGATAACACGGGTTCGCTTCGGAAGTTGGGATTGTTGGGGAACGGCCTAGAGCCGGTGGTAATGTAGTTCATATGGCGGTCCCGGGGGTGTTGGCGAAACATCTCCTCATTTTCCTCGCACCATTCCTTGAACGCCCGCCGCAGTTTCGTTATTTGTGGCGCTGGCGTCGTGGAGAAGGCCCGGTTGCATTTTGGCAACGACGCCGTTGGCCTGTGTAGTGGGATGATGGCGGCTGATGGTAATATGGATGATGACGCTGGCTCGAGGTAGTTGAGAAGCAGTTGCGGCTGGCAGCTGCTACCGCGTATCCGGGGTGGCATGGTTGTGGTGGTTGTCTGGGTCGGGTGCGGAAGATGGAGGTTGAGCTCGGGATTGTGGTCGGAATTTTCATGAATGCGGGAACCGGGGAGCAAGACCAACGGTGCATCCAATCGGAGGCCAGCTAAACCTCCCGATCCAACGACTGGACGTGGTACAGGGTTAGGGTCTGCGAACGATGCCATCTCAATGGCTTGCCTCCTCGGCCTCCTCGCCCCAGCTGCCAATCCTAGAGCGTGATGAGGAACCATATGAAAGCTCTATTTGAAAACACAGGAGCTTATCGTTTTGGTACAATTCAGGGTATATTCCATTGTTCCTAGATATTGTGCAGTTCCATCGCGTATGTTCCAAAGCCCCAACTCATTAGGTCCTAGGTCTCCGGCCTAACATTTAGATCAACCGTTTCCTCCCACAATATTCGTCTTTTGCGGACGCTTTCATTGATACACTTCCGACGCATTGTTTTCAAATTTCCCTGTCATCTCGAGCAATAGACATAGCTTTTGGTCTTCAGGGCCGATGAGCCGCTGCGACCACGGGTGTGTGTTGGCTGGGCGGCATCCGCCAGAAGCCAGATAGGGGGTAGGCTATACAGAGCATACCCACGGGATCAATGCATAGTTTAAACACGCGGCCGCATTCCCGCAGCCAGGAGAGAGGTGTTTTAGTGACGAAGAGCACTGAGGCAGCGCGCTCACTGGCCGTCCGAGGAGGAACTATTGGGAGCCGCCCGGTTCTTCTTGGTTTTGGCCTTCTTCGCAGAAGCCTCCTCGATCTCTGGCTTCGGTGCCGGGTTCGAGGTGTACGACTTCCACTTCCGCCAGCCGTCATAGTCGATTAATGCCTGCATGCAGCCCCATTCCATGACTTTGCGTTCGAGCCAAACATAGGTGACCGGCTGGAAGGTACCGTTAGCAAATACTCCATGTGGGATCATGAACCCGACATACCTTAGTCAAGAAGTCATTGCAGCCTGCAGCCAACGCCTCGTGACGATCACTTTGCAGGGAGCTCGCCGTCAAGGCGACAATGATGACTGGGCTTTTAAACATCTCCCTGTTTTGAAGCTTATCTTCCTCTGGCATCTCCTTTTTCGATTCATCTGGCTCACCCCCGTTGGTGTTGTTGCTGTTATTGCCGTTGCTCGCGGTTGAGAACGCGCCAATCGAGTTTGTGCGCTCGAGCCGGCGGATCTCGCGAGTGGCTTCAAGCCCGCTCATGACGGGCAGCTGGATGTCCATCAATACCAGATGGAAGCCGCCGGCACGCCACTTGGTGACAGCCTCGCGACCGTTCATAGCAGTCTGCCAGCGCACCTTCAACCGCTTGACGAACGCTTCCAGGAGTCGTAAGTTGATAATGTTATCTTCGACAATCAGTACATTGATTGGCGGCACGCCGCCGTTGAGCATGCCTGCTGGTAACGCGGGAGCTTCGGCCGTCTTCTTCTTCTTTGGCCGGCTGGTAGGAGGAGGGCGAGGTGAAGCCGCTCTCGGCGGCGGGGGTGTGGCAGTTCGGGGAATAGGTGCAGCCGTCGGTTCCTGGGTCGGGGGTGTCGGTATGGGGGGTGCGGGCGGGGCGGGCTGTCCGGTGTTCGTCTGTTCTGAAGAAGCATTTGAATGAGTCCTGGAACGCGTAATCGAAGACGCTTGCTGCATACCGTGGTTGGTCGCAACGGCGATGGTGGCCGTGTGCCCGCCGGCGCCGACAACGTTGAGAATGGTAGGGGACGACGTGTGCTGTCTCCCAAGCCGTGGCCTATCGGGCCGGTCCCGGTAAGGCCGTGTTCGTGTAGTCCCGCCGGGGGAGGGAATTTGAGGAACTTGCCCTGTGTTCAAAACTGATATGGAATGGGTGGTGCCGTTCGCGGCGCCAGCGAGTGTAACGGGGATATGGGCAACGGCACCGGGCCCAAAGTAATCGGTGCTCCCCTCGAGGGGCCGCATTTCTTCGTAGCTGACCGAGGTGAGGTGTTGTGCATGCGGAGGGCCATTTCTCGGGGAGGCGCGCGGCGTGCGGCGATGCGGTACGTCGATAAGCAACGCCTCGTCTACCGACTGTCCACCGGGAAAATATGCATCCAAGGTACGAGCCATTGGCTCTTCAGGCCCCAAGATACGTTCTTGTCTCTGGGTCTCGCGGGGCACGATGCGCAACGTCAAATCGGGTGCATCGAACTGGCGGCCGAGCGTATTGCCATACTTCCGGAGGATCAATTCGCGGACGTCGTCAACTAGGTCCTCTTCGTTAACAGTGACCAAGGTGGCAGAAGCGCCTGGCCGCTTCACCCAGAGCTTGCGTGTAGCCATGGTCGGGCTGATGGGCGGCAGTTGATCCGAGGCGCTCTGGTCGAGGTCATCAGTCTGCCCAGCGTTCAGCAGCGTCCGAATCAGCGACGTTTGTCGGTTAGGTAGCAGGCTCTGCCGTCTCGGCGGCGCGGGCGGACGAGGGCTCGTCGGATTCGGCGGGTTCGACGGGCGCAATTGAATGCTCAACGCCGGGTCCACAGGGTCGTGAAGGGTGAAGGAGGGACGGCCAGAGGCAGCGGGTCGAGAGCCCGGGCTAGACAGGTCTGAGCTCACGGGCGGGTCGCTGACTCGGGCTCGGCGGGCAACATCGGTGGAGACTCTGTGCGCTTTGGGTTTGGGCTCATCGGCGGGCGAGGGACGGGTAGTTGGCGACGGCGGCAACGACTGGGACAATTGCTGAAGGGCATCGGCTGGATTTTTGTTGCCACTGAAGGGTTCGCTGGCTGTCAGGATGCGGCGATCATTGCCGGGGCCATCGCTTTTGCCGGGGCCTGGTGAGGCGGGCAATGGCAGGCTATTGTTAGTGGGATTCGGGCCACTTTCTGGGTTCTGGCTGACCGCAGCACTGCCAGAACCCGTAACACCATCGCCGTCCCTTCCGTTGCTTGCATCGCTGACTTTGGCAAGCACTCCGCCTGGTTGCTGCTGCTTTGCGCCTTGTTTCAATTGCTCCTCGGATGATCCCGTGGCTTGCCGGGTGTGGCTGCCATCCTGGTTCTCGGGAGCGGCGGCCACTGTCTCGGCGTCATCGACGCGGTGGGCGCTCGCCGGAGAGCTGGGCTCCACGCTCTTGGTGCTATTGCTGCTGGCGTTGCCATTTCTGCTGGACGGGAGCGGCGGGATGCCCGAATGCCGTCGCGAAATTCTAGCCCGCAACTTAGATCTGAAGTCTCCCATGCCGGAGAACCCAAAGATGGATGAGCCCAGAATGCTGGCTCACGGCGCTCAGGCCGGTTCCAGTGCGAGGCCACAGGCCGTGGTTGCCAGTGTCTCTGGGGTTCAGAGCCCGGAAGAAAACCGTGGCATTTCCGCTGCAAAATAGAGCAATTCAGGTCAAAGACGAAGGCCTCTGAGCTGTTGTGTTGTGATGATGTGTGTCTTTTGGCAAACGGGAGCTTTGCCTTCCCGCTGAGAGCTCTTTGCCTTCGAGGAGCTTTGGGTTGAGCGATAGGCAGAGGTAGGGATGGTGGGTCTTGGCGGAACACAACCCCCGCCCGGCCGTTGCAGAAGCTCCGCTTGCCAATCGGAGCTCTCGATTGTGCAAGGCATGGACGGAATGGACAAATCAGTGCTGTTGCAGAATTGACAAGCATAATTTGGAGATCCGTTTTTATGCATCGCGAGCCTTTTTGTGAAAACATGCCACAAGGGGTCGTTGATGAGTCTCCGTTTGTAACTTGGACCTGGAAGAGAGACCAAACCGATTTCTCGTCCTCCGGCTCGAGAGGCGTATTTTTGTGGCTAATTCCATGTACACTACAGCTGGAGGTGCCCGGCAACAACAAGTGGTTGTCAATGTTGATTGAAACAACGTCTCATTCTTCGATACAACGTGCCCCGATTCAAACCGTGCCTAGACAGGTCAGGCTTAGGAGCCGTCACACAACCAACAAACCACAGAAAGAGACTCATTGCACACAAATTAGATTTTCTTTAACAAAGCACGCTGGACTTATGAGCCTGAGATTGAATCCCGTAAATACTTGCAAAGCCACATACATGAGGTGAAGAGAAACGAGTCCAGGGAAACCTATGGGGTGAAAAGTCCCGTTGAAGTAAGCATAGAGGTATCCATACTTGGTACTTGTTTTTTGCTAGCTTTCCATGGGTAGTAGAACACATGAAATAACTAACCGACCAACTTTAAACCTTACGTTTGCCCCAAAGGTTTTGATTGATGGCCCGTTGCATGGCAACAACACAATCCCGGGAATAAATCCCCGTGTTACTTCGTAGAGCTTGTCGTCTCGATGCTAGTCAGCGGGTATCTGCAGTCACGAATTTCCGTCGTCTGAGCTGTGCTGTGTACTGTGTAAGTCGATTATCGCCCTTTGTTTATCCCATTCGGGAAAGAGAAAATTTCCCCAAGCAGCAGTAACCAGGACCAGACCCCCCCTGCTTACCATCTCGATCAACAACAACTCCACTCATTGACTCTTTCTTCTTCTTTTTTTTTTGTCTTTTATTTTTCCACTCGGCTTCCCGCTCGCTCTTTCTATCCTGCAAGTTGCCGTCTTCGCTCCTTCTGCCTTGCTTGCTCGCCAATTGTTGCGTTTGTCCATCAGCCTCCAAGCCCACTTTTTGTGCCAAATGACAATAACGCGGTATCTCTCATACAACGGCCTTGCCCAGCTATAAGTTTTCAGTATGGCGCCCAAAGCCAGGTTCACAACGTCCCCCTCCGGCCACGGTCCCGGGCAGGAAACAAATCGAGAGCGCAAGCGGGCTTCTCTCTTCAGCCAGACCAACCAAACCTTCATCTCGAAACCTTCCGACGTCTCTCCTTCTCCAGCCGGGTCCATCTTTGGCACCAGCACTTCTTCATTTACCTTTACTGCCGGAGCTCCTGGGGTTACTTCCATTCAACGCCCGTCTGCTACACCGAAGCCGCCCTTGCTCTCTATTCCGACCTTTAACTTTACCAGTCCCCAGTATCCCAGCGACACTGGCGGAAGCGGATCCTCGGATTCCGGTAGTCGGTCTCAGTCAATGAATAGCCTCACAGGCAGTATGGCGGACCTTATGGCTTGGAAAATGAAGCCTAAGAGTGCGGCGAGCGACAAGGCGGCGTCACTGTCTGCTGCCTCCCTATCTGGCAAGAGCAAAGCCGCGTCCCCAACTGCGGAAGATGAGGATTCCACAAGCGAGGAAACGAGTGAGAAATCCAGCGATGACGAGTCAAGTTCCGCGTCCGACCTCAGCGGCAGCGAAGAGGCCGCATTCGGCGCCCATCTGGCCCTACTCCAGCGGCGTCCCGAGATCGATGAACTCAACGAAATCAAAACGACGCCCATCTTCACGGAAGCCGTCCGCAAGTATGCCCTCACGCTTGCTGGCGCTGAGATGGAGCAACCTTTCAGCCAGTATGGTCTATTGGCTGGCGACCTGACCGGCAGCACTGATGGCGGCGCCACTGACCCGCGGGTCTTCTGGAACATCGCTGCCCCCTCCAGCTACTTCATTTGCGGTAGCCAAGGGTCCGGCAAGAGCCACACCTTGTCATGTTTGTTGGAGAACGCCCTCGCCCCATGCAAGGCGAATGTTCTGCCCCGGCCCTTGACGGGCATCGTATTTCACTACGACACGTTCATCTCGGACTCAGGCGGTTCTCCTTGCGAGGTGGCCTGGCTGTCCTCCAACAAAAACATCAAGGTCCGGGTCTTGTGTCCGCCAACGAACATCCGTACCATGCAGGTGAGTTTCCTCTTCCTCCATGATCCACAGCCCACGTGTTGACCGAATGCCAGCGCCTTTACAACAAGTTTCCCAACATCAAGGTTGAGGAGTTGCGGCTCAACCAGTCCGATCTCAACACGAAGCGAATGCTAGACCTAATGGCCGTCACCACAGGTGGGAATTTGCCCTTGTACCTACACGTCGCCCAGCGCATTCTCCGTGACCTGCGTGTGGAACAACAAAAGAGCGATACCGGGTTCAACTACACGGCGTTCAAGCAAAAGCTCGCTCTGGAGAATCTCACAGAGATGCAACTGTCACCGCTGAAGCAACGCCTCGAAACTCTTGAGTCTTTCATGGTCGAGGACCAGGCTAAAGCCTTCGACATGTTTCAGGGGCCGCGAACACCCCGATCACGCCGAGTCACCATAGCGCCGGGTACCTCCTGGAAACCTCACAACGGTCACCTCACCATTGTCGACCTGTCGTGCCCCTGCGTCACCCCCGAGATGGCGTGCTCGCTCTTTAACATCTGCTTGTCACTGTTCCTGGAACAGGACCCGGCCGCCGTCGGTCGCGTCGTCGCCCTCGACGAGGCGCACAAGTACATGACCGAGTCGCAGGAATGCGCCGCGCTGACCGAGGCGCTACTGGCGACTATCCGCCTACAACGGCACATCGGCGCACGGGTAATAATCTCCACGCAAGAACCCACCATCAGCCCCAAGCTACTGGATCTGTGCAGCGTCACGGTCGTCCATAGGTTCACGTCGCCGGACTGGCTGAGTGCGCTGAAGAAGCATCTCGTGGGGATGTCGTCTGGTGGTAAGCTGCTCGAGAAGGCTAGGAGGTTGAACTCGAGTGGTGAGGACGAGGAGGAAGGGATTGACGGCGCCGCGGTGCTGACTCTGGGTGATGCGGACCCGGCGCTGGAGTTGCTCTCGAGGATTGTGGACTTGAGGGTCGGCGAGGCGCTTATGTTTGCGCCGAGTGCCATTATCGGAGTCAAGAAGAAGAAGGACGGCGAGGCGAGCGGGCTGGGGGAAGTTAGACGGCTGGCTCATGGCGTGCTGAAGGTGCGCATCCGCAACCGGACGACTGCCGACGGCGGCAGGAGTATCATGGCTGCTTGACGAGCCCTCGGAGTGATATGCCTGGATTGTTTGTGTACGGCGCTCTAGAGAATCTGGCCGGGAATACGGGGCAACGATTACTGGTTCCCTGGTTGTCATGATAGGTACCAGACCATACGTAGGTAGCTATGAGTGTTGGTTATTGTGGGGGGTTTGTACCATGGCGTCGGGTTATTTGTGTTGGATTACACCTTGTTAGATGAGCTAATACCTATCAATAAATGTTAATACTGTGTTAAAATATTTGTTCAAAGGTACCGAAGGGACGGGTTCAAGGATAGAGAGAAGAAATTGGTGTTGTTTGTCGACTCGACGTTTGGACCCCTGAAGCCCCGCAGCCCGCAACGCAACGACAGCGCTGTTAGTGTCCGACCTACCTGTAGGCTCTAGTTAGTGGGTCAACTCTCACTGGGATTGCACAAATTAACGCTGTCTCTCTCTCTCTCTCTTGAACTCATCCATCATCAAAACATTTGCCACCCTCGATCCCACCTCGATTCATCCCTGTCAGCCCGAGTTATCTCAAACGTTGCACATATTGGTTTTTAAATACGTACCTCCATGCCTCACGCCTAGACACCATCTTAGCTTCTCAAAACACATTTCACCCTTTTTTTGTCGTCATGGCTCCACGGTTCGATTCCCCCCCGTCAACACCACTTTCATTCTCACAACCCCGACCACGGTCACCAAGATCCCCAGGTCGCTTGGCCCAGATCCGAGTACAGAATCGGAGAAGGGCATACCTGGAGAAACACGGTAAGTATTTTGAATCAAATGAACATGAACTTGCAGGTGAGAAGAAGTATATCCCACGACTCAAGGAATTCAATGTTAATCCATTCTCAGACCCCCTCCTCTACGACTCCCTCATCCGGCGCTTCCAAACTCCCTCAGAGCGCGAGGCTGAAGGCCGTAAGAAGGGCTACGCCCGCGTGCTGGAGGGTTCCCTTCTCCGGGGCGAGGAGCGGTTAGCCAAATTGCGAGAGCAGACCGTCGAAAGAAACCAAGACGACTCCATCGCCATCACCACCACCACGACTGTGATAGAAACAACAACATCATCAACAACAACAACAAACGGAACGGAAGCCCCCAACCCCACCCAATCCCCGTCCCCGTCCCCCTTCAGCGCCCTAACCGCATCCCAAACCGCGTCCCTGGCCCCCCCACCCAAAACCCGCGCCGAAGGCCGCGCGCAGTGGGAGGAATTTCTGCGGGACCGTTTTGTGCGCGGTGAGGATGCCGACTTTGACTATGCGCCGGTGGACGCCGACGACGAGTATGACGTGCTGGAGCGTGAGGAGAGGGAGGAGGCTTGGTTCGAGGACGAGGATCCGGGGTGGGCGGACAGTGGGGAGAGTGCTGGGGAGAGTGGGACGGGGCGGAGCGGCGGGGATCGGGGGGAGGGGGGTAGGGGAGAAGGAGGGAGAGAGAGGGTGCTGTGTGGGGAGACCGGGAGTGCAGGATTTCTAGGGGTTAGTTGGGTACATGAGGGAGTGAATGGTCGTGAAACAAAGAGTACGGGAACATGGAAATAGGTGTTGAGGTGTTCACTTAAGGACAAGAAGTTCCAACTAGCGACCAACGGTAGGTTACAATCTATTGCTTGTTACTACTTGTTTGTGTGTACCTACTCATTTATCCTAAAAGTTGGGCGATTCTAATAAAACACCAAACGCCAGAGCAATGCTCCCCGACCCATCCATGCTCTCAACCCCTTTTCTTTGGCGATGCCGCGCCTATTATTACAACACAATGTCCCTGTAGTACTGCTCTAACGCGGGCAAAAAGTCCCGGTGCACTCTCCCGACTTTAGCAACCTTCAGGTTATCCTCGACGGTGTAAATCCTCCCGCAGTCAAGCCTCGCAAACGGCGAGATGTAGTATTCGGCGTCCTCGACAATGATACCAATAGGACCCCGAGTGATGTCCTCGTCGTCATCAGGGGCCTCGGGCTGAATACCCACCCTGAATAACACGGCATGATCCCCCGCCCGGCCGCGGGTTGTCCTGCTGGCGGCCTTCCCCGCGTACGTTGTAATCGTGAAGCACAGTGAATGGTGCAGCCGCCGCTTTACAACGACAAACCAGCGAATCTTGGCCACGGGCTTTTGTCCGTGAAAAGCCGGACAAACGCTCGACCACTCCCTGGGCTTGGGTTGCTGCTGGAGTATGTCTTCGGTGCTGGGCTCAAACCAGACTGTCGCAAAGACGCGGCCAGTACAAAAGAAGCGTTTGGGCTTAGCTATGGCGCTGAACTCTGAGAAAATTGATATCAGAACCTGCAGATTAGGGTTTTAGGGGGCTTCTGCTGCGGAAGGGAGTATCAGACATACCAGGACCTAGTGGTTCTTCATATGATGGTCTTTGTGGCTGAGATATTGTCGGCCTTGGGATGCAGTTCACCCTGCGCTCCGGCGAGTTTCCGGGGGGTTGTGTTTCTCCTCCGCGGTCGGGATGTGTGATGTTATGGGCAGGACCTGAGCTTGCTGGAGCCGGGGGCGGCACTCCAGCTATCTGGTGTTCTGTGAACAGCTCTCGTTTACCGTCTTATCCCGTGTTAGTTCTTCTTTTTCTTTGCGAATAACCCTGGACCATCCGCTTGCCTTGCCCTTTCACAACATAATCTCCATCTTCTGGCGACCACTCCCACCCCCGACGCTCGCCGTACTCTTTGATAGGCTCGGGGTACTCTTGGTAGCCCGGCTTGGAAGTAATGCTGGGGTAGGAATAGCTACTCTCATTGTCTTCGGCCGAAAACAGAGGGGAGAATCCAGTGTGTGTGCGCTCAGCTGTTCGCTTCTCTGTTAGCTTTGTTTCCGGTTTGGGTGATGAATATTGAAAGACGGTACTTTTATATTCGATGAACTTGGACCATGCCCCAGGGCCGTCCGTCGCTGTGTGCCCTTCACAGGTGCCTCGGCCCATCTGCATCATAGCGGGAGGACTGCGTCCTAAGGGGTCAGTCATCATGGCCGCCAACATGTGAAACCAAGAATCATGAAAACACAACTCGTGCCTTCACCAGTGGAGTTGTTATGGTGCGGCAGAAACAAGGTTGGTAGCTAGCTAGTTAGCTAGCATCCCAAACGGAGATTTTGAGGATGGTACGAAGTGAGCATGCTGAGAAACTTGAAGGAAGGCAGAAATAAGACCCGAGGCAGCTTGGTTCTGTCCAAGTTGAAGCAAGGAACAATTTGCTCCGAGCCACCGATGAAGTTTTGAAAATCCCCTATTGGGTCAGCGAGCAAAGCAGCGCCCCGACCAAGGCCCCTCGTCTTCATTCACTGGGTGCCTTCGGGTTGTACAGCATATCCCCCATCCCACGGCAGTAAGGGAGGGAGCAGCGGGGAGGTCGTGAAGTGCCTTACCGGACCAACCAAAGCCAGACTCCCGAACCAGGCTGGCAGACGAACCAATCATAAAAATATACGCCCCCACCATTCAACCTCCCTAGGAAGGTTGGCTGCTAAAGAATTCCAATTGCCCGTTTAGGAAACCAACCAAGGCTTTGCTTGCGAATGAATAACTACCAGATTAGTTCTCGATTGAGTCGATCCCGATGAACGGGGCCTTACATCGACGCTAGAGAGCATATATTCGTCTGTCATACATAACCTGAGCCTTATTCATTGCCGGAAAGTATACACTTTCTGGGGAAAACGCCTGTAAGTTCCTCCGAGATGTGCAAGAAGGTGAGACCCTGGGAGCCCTGACCGACATTTCCAGGTGCCTAGATCATTGGCTCTCGTTTGTGCGGATATCGCTTTAGTTCCGGGGATCAAGCCCGTACCAAAGATATCAAGCCAACGCACAGGCCGTTTGATGGTTCACAGTGAACCGGTGTGGTTCAACATGTCGGATGTTGGAGGCCGGCATTCCCGGGACGCCAGGACGCCAGCGCAGCCAACGATGACGGACACGGTGCAGAGGGAGGGAGAACAAAGACACAAAATACACCCCTCATGATTATCCCTAGGTATCGATCGTCTCGAAAGCACTGCACACTCGCCTCACTCACCAACCCCTGACGCCAGGCACGGCCTAGATGTTACATCCCTTACATCCCCTACAACCCCTTACGTGGCGAAAACCGCACATGAACAACAACCAAAAGCCACAACGAAAACAAAAAAAAAGCACGGTCCGGCATGCCTCTAACCCGCATGATGTTGTATATGGCTACCCATGACCTCCTGAGGCGGATCCGCCTCCCTGCTGGCGCTCATCTCGGGCACGTTCTGCGAATGGACTGGTTGTTGCTGCGGGGGGTACGCATATCCAGCCTGCGGATGAGGGAAGTACGGCCCCTGCCCCTGTCCTTGAGGTGGCATTTGCTGCACCAGGGAAGCACCATAGTACTGCTGCTGCTGCTGTGTCAGGTAATGTTGTGGTTGTTGTTGTTGTTGTTGTGTTTGAGGCGGATATTGCTGCGGATGTTGATGCTGGTAGCCATACTGAGGATATTGTTGCTGCTGATGACCCTCATCCGCCTCCGCGATCGGTGCCGGATAGCCCTGCCCGTTAGTACCTACCGCTGGGCTGCCCGTCCCGCTCCTACCGCCGTAGGGGATGTGCGGGTTGGTGGCTCCTCCAGCGTAGTAACCCGACTGGCCGTTGTGCAACAGGTTCTGGCCGCTCTGAGAGCTGAGTTCGCTCACGCCGCCGCCAGAGGTGCCCGTGTGCTGGGGAATGAGGACAGCGGGGAATGCCGAGGTCCCACTTGTCACGGTGCTGGTGCGATCTGAGGGGGGATGCGTTGGCATTGCTGCCATGCCTGGGTGAAAGGCTCCCGGGGGGTATTGACCGTTTATGACACTTGCTTGTGGCATCGTTTGGGGTTGGCTAAAGGGCGGCTGCTGTTGCTGCATCTGCGCTTGGGCTGGAGGTGCTGGTTGCTGAGCTTCGGCCAGCTTCTTGTTCTTGCGGCGAGATCTCCACAAGCAGATGGCAAGACCAGCGATGAGAATGACTGCAACGCCCGCTCCTGCACCAATTCCTGCTTTGGCCGCCGTCGAAAGCCCGCCACCCCCAGGATCTGCGACCTCGAAGCGCATGGACCAGACGATGTTGACGACGGCTGATGTCGGCTTATCCTTCGTCTTTGCGTCCTTTTCAAGGGTGAGGGTAGGAGGTTCGACGGTTGAAACGGAACTCCAACAAGGCGTGATGCCACCTACAGCCTTGGTAAAAGGCCAAAAACCGCTAATTCAAGTTAGCAACGCTCGAAGCGGCGGACAGGGAGCCAGCCACATACTTGGGACAGCACCCGCCGGAAATGGAGTAGTAGTCGTCGGCACAGCTCGCCAGCACAGCCAAGTCGCCGTTGACGGGTGTCGGGAAGTCGGTGTTGTCCCGGGCATTGATCGCAGCCCCGTCGGTAGTAGCACTCCCCGCCGCAGCCGAAGCCGGAGTCCCTACGGCCCAAGGACAACACTCGGGCCTGTCGTTCACGCAGCCCACGAAGCCGCCATAGTACACAGTGCTGCCGGCATCAACAAGCGTGAAATCAGTTTGGCTGCACGGACCTTTGAGAAGTTCTCCCTCCCCTTGGTACTGGGGCGGCTGGCCATAGTTGGGTTGCTGAATAGCGCCTGTAGCCCGGACCACATCTACCGTTCTAAAGCGTCCATCAGTCACATTCACGGGTATCAGAAGTACGGCTATTGAACGTACTCAAAATCTAAGGAGACGCTAGTTCTAAGGAACCAGTTAGCCGGAGTGATACAGAGGGGAAATGCCTAGCCTTACGGGGCTTGGATTTGGGCCATGACACCGGGCGGAATGCTCCCACAGTACTCGGAGTAGTAAGACCGCTGGTAGTCGCCGTAACCTATATAGCCTCGGTGTTAGCCAAGCTTGGTATCAAATCAGCGCCGGACCTGGACGTGCCTGCGGATCCGAAATAGTAACTTGCACAGGTCCCCGTGGCTACTTGCGAATAAAAGCAGTCGAGATATGAGATTCCATAGGTGCAGAAACAGGCTGTCGCTGCCGAGTTGTAATCGGTGGCTGCGAGGATGTCGCCGTAGCAGCCGCTGAGAATGCTCGTACACTGAAGGCCATTGTTGAAATTCTGGTGAACTCGACGTTAGCTCCATGGAAACAACGTCCACCGAGTAAGTGGCTTGAGACGGGTCGGTCCATACGTAACAATCCGCGTCGCTGCCGCCAAAGTAGTCGGTCTGGCGAGGTTGGATAAGCCCGTACGCGCTGGCCAGGGTCGGCGAGAGCGTGGACGTCGGTGACGGCGTCGCAATCAACATCGTAGCGTATCTGTGTGTTCGGTATGGTTAACGTCTATTTGCGGAGGAACACGAGACGCAAGACGCGAGAGCGCGTCGGCGACGGATACTTGTTGGCGGTGTTCTTTGATCAAACAGCCCAGGCGGCCAGCCAGCCAGCCTTGCGCTCCGACGGCATGCCGCCTGCTTGGGTGCCCAATCCGAAAGCGCATGGTTTTGCCCACGTCTCTCCCCCTTGACGGCACTTCGATATTGGACGCAGCAGGGGTCACGATGTCCAATGCGGAGGGCCTGCATGTCGTGGCGTTGCTTCGTGACGTTGATAGGTGTGCCTTGACGAGAAAGTCCTGGGGCTGAACATCTAGCCCCAGCTTGGCAGTCTAGATTGTGGTGTGGTGTTGATGGCGTTGATGCGCCCAGCTCCGCCGCTCTTGGAGGGGGTGGGCCATTGCTACCAAGTATGGACCGCGAAAAATTACTTATTGGCGGCTAACCAGACGATTGGGTGGCTTGGTGAACAGAAGGGGAGAATGGCTTTCCTCAGTCCTTTCCCACCCGTTGACAATCCGAAAGGGACTCGACACCAAACAGATGGAGCGAGCCAGAGCCCAGAGCATGTGTGGTGTTAGTTGAATTCCGAGCCATGAATGGAAGCTTGGCAACGGCTTCGTTCCAATAATTCCAAGCAATCAACCCCAGAATGTCTCACAGCAACTCGCATGGCCCGAAACTTGCATGCATTGGAACTCTGGGTGCATTTCATCAACCTGGAACCACGACGATCGTGTGCCATTTTTTTTTTTTTTTGGACAACAACACAAGGCGAGTCAGAGCATGCCTTCCGAGGATGTAGGCTGATGAGATGGAAGAATGGGAAAATGTGAGCCTCCACTGCCAAGGCCGCCGTTCAGGTGATGGTAAAGACCGGCCCGCAAATTCCCCGTTTTCTCCCACATTCATCAGAGCCATTCCCGCGAGGAACATTCCAACCCCATCTCCCCGCCTTCGATCCATCCCCCACAACTCGCCCTCACCACCCACATGATGCGCTGAACATCGCTGTACCAACCATAGTTACAGTGGAGACTACGAAGGAGCATCTCTTCCCAGTACCCCGGGTACCCGGGCGACGGACTGGCTCGACTAGGTTTGCGGCTGACTCCAATGCAGACTGCCCCTCCCCTGTACCTTTGCTTATCGGCGTTAAATGACACGGTCGTGGCGTGCGCAGGAGCAGCCCACAAGATACCTAGAAATCTCTCAACCCCAACCAGCCTCGCCATGATGATGAGAAACACGCAGCCCACAAGTCACGGCAACGGCACGGCAAAGGCCCCGCCGACCCGCCAAGTGTCTTGCCCGGAATACTGGCCGGACGGTTAAATGGGGATAAATAGGAATATGGGACCAGACCCTCGTGCTTCCGACATCCACACACCCGCCCGACCCAACTCGACGGGGCATTGGAGACGGTTCAAGGTCGTCAGTGAGCTCCTGGGCGGTTGAAGTCCTTTGAGACTGTGTAGATCCCCTAGGTATATAACTAGTAGGAATCCCTCAGCTTGTGTGAACCTCTCCTCCACGCCTCTGTGCATCACCAGAATTCTTCCTCTGTTCTGCTTTCCAAGAACAATCTGCCCCTCCCCCGCACCCCGCATAGCTCCCCCGCAACTCCAACTTTCACCCCCAGAACGACGGCCATCACCATGGCGCCTCTGATCACCCACCTCTACACAGCTGACCCCTCGGCCCACGTCTTCGAGGGCAAGGTCTACATCTACCCGTCGCACGACCGCGAGACCGACATTCAGTTCAACGACAATGGCGACCAATATGATATGGCCGACTACCATGTCTTCAGCACCGACTCGTTGGACCCTGTCGCCCCCGTGACCGACCACGGCGTCGTGCTCAAGACAGAGGACATCCCCTGGGTGTCGAAGCAGCTCTGGGCCCCGGATGCCGCCTTCAAGGACGGCAAATACTACCTCTACTTCCCTGCCCGTGACAAGGAGGGCATCTTCCGCATCGGTGTGGCCGTCGGCGACCGCCCCGAAGGCCCCTTCAAGCCCGACCCGGAGCCGATCAAGGGCAGCTACAGCATCGACCCGGCTACCTTTGTCGACGAAGACGGCCAGGCGTACATGTACTTTGGCGGGCTCTGGGGTGGCCAGCTGCAGTGCTACCAGAAGGGCAATGACATCTTCGAGGCTGAGTGGCAGGGCCCCAAGGAGCCCTCGGGCGAGGGTGCCCGGGCGCTGGGCCCCCGCGTGGCCAAGATGACGGACGATATGCGCCAGTTCGCGACCGAGGTAAAGGAGATCCAGATCCTGGCGCCCGAGACAGGCGAGCCGATCGCGGCCGACGACCACGACCGGCGCTTCTTCGAGGCCGCCTGGATGCACAAGTACAACGGCAAGTACTATTTCAGCTACTCGACCGGCGACACCCACTACCTGGCGTACGGCGTCGGCGACAGCCCGTACGGGCCCTTCACCTACGGCGGGCGCATCCTCGAGCCGGTGCTTGGCTGGACCACGCACCACTCCATCGTCGAGTTCAAGGGCCGCTGGTGGTTGTTCCACCACGACTGCGAGCTCAGCAAGGGCGTCAACCACCTGCGGTCCGTCAAGATCAAGGAGATCTTTTATGACAAGGACGGCAAGATTGTAACCGAGAAGCCCGAGTAAGCAGTGTATAGTGTTTAAAACAGAAATAAAGTGGTTTTTCACCGGCCTCCTTCATTAAGCTGTATTTCCATAAATTATTCTGGATTATCGGCGACGCCTTGGAAGTGTGGTCGAGTGTTTGCCAAATAGGTACCTGGGTTGTCGGCCCAACTTCTGCCGTTTCCGGGGGAGTTCTAAGTACCTATCCTTCTCCCTGCCCTGTCCAGAAGGCAGTAGAAGTTCTTGAATGTGTATTCGCCGTTTTCTATCCGAAGGATTGAGAGGCCAGCAGAAAAGAAAAGGTCGACTTTATTTCCGCCGCCGGTTGCGGAAGCAGCAGGAGGTACCTGACGAGACGAGAGGGTCCAGCGCGGCAAGACCGCTTCAGGCCCATTTCCACCAGCGAACGCCGAGGGCCCACCACTCCCTGGAATCTGCCCCTGGCTTGGATGCTTAGCGGGGAGCCAACCAAGTGCCCCTCGTTTCGAATAAGCTGAATTGATCGACATACATAACTACACCGCGATTCCTTGGGTCATAAAGGTCTAGCTGGCACTGCCATCAATTGCGCGCAGTTCAGATCCCTCATAGATCTCTTGAAACCCCCGAGATACACGAGAACGCCCTCGACAGCGAAAGCCAACCCAACCCGACCCGACCGAGATCAGAGTTACCAACTTGGCCCTCCCCGCAATGGCTGAACAGGCTCTCTTTTCTGCCCAATACCTGTCTCCCGAGGTGCAAGCCGCCTTGCCCGAGGGCTATAAGCTCCGGCCTCTTCGTCGGGATGACTTCGATGCCGGCTTCCTTGACTGCCTGCGAGTTCTAACAACAGTCGGCGAGATCTCGAAGGAGCGGTGGGAGGAGCGCTACGACTGGATCTCAAAGCAAGACGGCACCTACTTCATCCTCGTTATTGAGGACACCACTGCCAACCCACCAAGGATCGTCGGCACTGGTGCCCTGCTTGTGGAGCGCAAGTTGTAAGAAACAACCCCCCTCCCTTAGGTTCGCAGCACAAGACTAACGCGCCCTGTCTCGCGCCAGCATCCACAATCTCGGCGCCGTTGGCCACATTGAGGACATCGCCGTCGCCAAGGACCAACAGGGCAAGAAGTTGGGTCTGCGCCTTATTCAGGCGCTCGACTACATTGCCAAGCAAGTGGGATGCTATAAGACAATACTCGACTGCAGCGAAGCCAACGAGGGCTTCTACGTCAAGTGCGGCTTTAGGAGGGCCGGCCTTGAGATGGCTCATTACCATGAGGGTCCCAAGAGTAACGGTGCCCAATAGCTTGTGCGGCGGGCGCCTGGCGTGTAGCGCAGTGTAGCTGACTCCATTGCATCGGTTTGCAACAGCAACAGGCAACGAGACGTCCAATCTCTAAGAGCCAACGCTCTCTTTCTTGGCCATTGCTGGCCCAGAGAGATGCAGCTACAGCATGCGTGGGGAGGTTTGAGTAACAAGAATCGGATAGAGCTAGATCTAGAGCAGCGTGTTTTTGCTTTTTCAATGATTATTCGAGCACACACCATTCATTTCCGCGAACTGGGGCTGTTGACCGCCAACTCGATAGACAAGCACGCACGACAGCGCAAAATCAGCTCGCTGTGTCGACGCTCTCCCTCGATGGGCACCCTCAGCCCGCCTTCCATGGTTCCAAGTTGGAGCAACCCCGCGGGCGGCCGCTGTCCCAGACCGGTGTCCTTTGCGTGTGTGTTACACAATACACAGCACAGACACGAACAACATATTGACGCCCATCCTTTTCGCTTTGCCATGTGATCCGGGGCGAATTCCGATACCAGTTCCGTCCAACCCCGAGTGGGCACCCCGAAATGTACTGCAACCCCCATCGGAGTTCCTTAATGTTACACTGACTTCCGAGCACAGTATAGGCCGAGAATGTAGTCACAGATGCGTCGGAGAAGCTTTGTAGACTCCTTATTCTGGACGGGGTTCCCGAGACTGAGATCTAGTATTAAGGTCGCCATGGCCGGCACGGAGGAGCCCAGCCGATATACGAGCTTCCATCCCAAGATAACCACTAAAACATCACTATGTTCACTTATTGAGAATCACGACATGATCTTACCTGCGTAATGTCCTGTCTGGCCTAGCACTTCTGTCTTACCCACCGAACTTGGATTCCCCTCCTCTTTCCTCTCATCCACCCGAGGCTACCGGCACAGAGCTTTGGCTATCTTAGGCCACGACATTCGGACTACGGATCTCCCCAACCCGTGAATTCCGACGCCTTTAGGACACAAAGATTCAGGCCAGTCTTAGTAATCGACGCCCGTTCCTTCTTCCTCTCACCTATACTACGAACTCGAGTGCGCCTGTCAAACATGGACAGAGAACTTCATGTCGCTCTGACCCGGGTCCGCATAGCACTCCTTCAATTCGAGTGTGTCATCCCTTCCCAAACGTAGGACTTGAGGGGGTAAGCAAGCAATCTATATTTTGACACCTTCCAGGGCCTGTAAGAAACTCGGCGTTCTTCCACCATCAACATCGTCTCCTCGACGCAGACGAAGCTCGGTCTCCGTGTGCCCTGGACGCAAGAACGGGTCTACTATTTTCACGAGGCAAAAGTCTTTATAATCACGAATTTTAGCTTGATCACGACTTTCTCTTCTCGAAAGCTTATTCCAATCTTCTCCTGCATCATGTCTCCTCACGCCAGCCAGGGCGCCACAACAAGTGGTGGGGAGGGCAAGACGCCCAGTCACTGGGCCATGGGAAACAAGGCGTTTGAGCACCGCATGCCGCACCACGACGGAATCGAAGCGTTGTGGGAAACCAGATGGAAACTACCGGTGAGTATTATGATAGAACTCCAGCGGGCAGTCCCTCGAGCTACACCCGCCCATCACGCCAGACAGCAAACCCTCAGCAAGACACTAACTACCCTGGTTTAGTGCACCAAGTCCCTCTACCCCTTCCACGACGGCGCGTACGAAGACTTTGCGCCCATCTTTGACGAACTCATCAGGGTGAGCACACCCCACCCCTTTCCCGCCTTTTTACCCCCCAAACCATGCCAAACCAAACTACCTAACCGAACCCCCCCCCTCAAAGAACAACATCAACGACGCCTCTTCCCCAGATTACACCAACGCCTTCCGCTCCACAGCCGAGGGTCTCATCGGCCAAGCCGACCTCGGTGCCGCTATTGGGACCAAGACGGCCGAGGTGATCAACCTGTACCTGCGAGCATGTGCTGTTTGTCGCATCGCCCGGTTTCCGTATATCACGTCGTTTCCGCAGGTTAACGATAGCGTCAAGTGGTTTGTCTTTTTCTCTCTCCCCCCCCTTTTCCCCCTTTTCTCCGGCTCCGCTGCCCGGGAGCTTGACTGACACTGTGTTGTTGGGCAGGGAGATGTGGGAGATGCAAAAGAAGACGTACCTGAAGGCGGGGGCGCTCTGGTTGAACCCCGTGGAGGAGGTTGTGGTGAAGCATCGGTATGCAGAGGGGCGAGATCGGGGGGAGATTCCGGTTTATGTGCGGACGCCGAAGATGGTGCATATAGATGGGGAGGAGAAGGAGGGCACCGCCTTTCCCACAGTGGTGTTGATGACCGGGTTGGATGGATATCGGCCGGATAATACGCTGAGGTGTGAGGAGTTTTTGAAGCGAGGATGGTGAGTACCTGTTTCTTTTTCTTTTCTTTTATTGTTTGTCGACTGACTCACTGACTGCTACTCAGGTGCGTGGTGGTTGTCGAGATCCCCGGCACCGCCGACTGCCCTGCCGACAGCGCCGACCCGCAGTCGCCTGACAGGCTATGGACAAGCTTGCTTGAATGGATGAGTGGGGATGGGCGGTTCGATATGAAGCGTGTCCTGGTCTGGGGCCTCAGCAGCGGCGGGTACTATGCCATCCGAATCGCACACACACACAAGGAGCAGCTCGTAGGGTGTGTTGCCCAGGGCGCGGGGTGCCATTACTTTTACGACCAGAAATGGCTGGAGAAGGTGGACGGGCATGAATACCCCTTCGAGTGAGTTGCCGTACATGTATCCTTTTGCCAGGGGCGGATCGAAAGGCTGACTGCCCGACTTACTTTATCAAAGGCTGTCGCCTGCCATGGCCATGAAACATGGTTTCAAATCTGTCGAGGAGTACAGGACAAAGGCGCAGAAGAAGTTCTCGTTGCTCGAGACAGGGATCATCCAGAAGCCGTCCACCAGGCTACTTTTGGTCAATGTGAGTCTGCACTTCTGCTAGTGGCGGGTTGTCTTGGCTGACTTGATTAGGGCACTCTCGACGGCCTCATGCCCATCGAAGACTCGAGGATGCTTTTTGAGTACGGCACGCCCAAGGAGGCCCGTTTCTTCCCTGGTGCGTTGCACATGGGCTATCCCATGGCCAACGGGGCTGTGTACCCTTGGATGGAGGAGGTTATGCAGTCAGTGAAGGATTGAGAGGAAGTATGAGTCTACCCATTGAGGTTACCACTTTTAGGTCGCCATGTATCCGTATATACTTTCTTTCTTTCTCTTACTTATGGCCAATGAGCTTATCCGTTGATATCACTAGTTCCGGACTGCCGTGTCGTGGTAGATAGTTGTTTTCTTCATTATTACGCTTAGGCAAATGAGGTTTGGCGCCGTCAAGGCATATCTCTCACCGTCCCATCCACCCACCATCCACCACAAGTACGTGGCCGCTCACGTATGCGCTGGCTTTGCTTGCAAGGTAGACGGCGGTGCCCTTAAAGTCCTCGGGGCTCCCCCACTACACATCAACAACGTCAGCGTCGCATTAAACAGGGGGGTTAGAGGAGAAGAAGCATACCCTCCCAGCCGGTATCCTCGCGCTGATACTGGCCAACCTCTCCGGGTCGTTCAGCAGTGCCGTGTTCATGTCAGTCTCGATGTAGCCGGGGGCGATGGCGTTGACGGTGATGCCCCGGGCGGTCCACTCGTTGGCAAAGCTCTTAGTGAGCTGCCCGACGGCGCCCTTGGAGGCCGCGTAGGCGGGCACGGTCAGGCCGCCCTGGAAGGTCAGGAGGGAGGCGAAGTTGATGATGGATCCCCTGCGCCCGGTCACGGCCGAGGGGTCTAGCTCCAGCATGTGCGCGCCGATGTCGCGGCAAAGGGTGAAGACGCTGTTGAGGTTGACTTGGAGGACCTGTGGGTGTTGGGGTGCGTGTTAGTTAAGGTAGCTACTTAGGGAACTCGTTATTATGAAAAGCCAGGGGTGGAGTCAGTCTGACCTGGTTGAAGTCGGAGTCGGGAAACTTCTCGCAGGGGTGTCGGCGCTGGATGCCGGCGCAGTTGACGAGGATGCGGATCTGGTGGCCGTCGGCAAGGATCCGCGGCACCAGCTTCGCGACGTCGTCGGCCGAGCTCAGGTCTGCTGTGTAGATGCGAGCGGTGCGACCTAGGGCCTGGACGGCATTGAGGGTGTCGGTGGAGGACTCATCTCTCTGGTTTGGTGAGTTAACGTGGTTTAAGAGGATGGATGGCTTGGTATCACTGATCTCCTGATCTCTCTCGTTCATGTCATGTAGGTAGGTAGGTACCTTACCTGCACGAGGAGGATGTCGGCTCCGGCTTCGGCGAGACCAATGGCGACGGCCTTGCCAATGCCACGAGTGCCGCCTGTGATGAGTGCAGTGTGGCCTTCAAGGGAGAACATGTTGATTGGCTGATTTTCTAAGTTTTGGGATACCTAAGAGAGACGAAGACACCGAATGGAAGTGGGAATGTGTTGAGTTGTACTGTGTCTGTTGTGGAGTGTATGTTGGTGTAAGTGGGTTAGTTAGTGGGTTAGTGGGTTCAGATGCAGTGAATGGGCAGTGTGATACTTGTAAGGAACCCCTGTTTGTAAAAATGATACATTACTATTACAGATATCGTAATTACCCCGTTTCACTGACTGCCGGAATCAACGCCGGCGTCGGGGTGGGGATACCGACGGGGCAAGCCTGCTCTCCAGGACAAGGCACGATGGGAGAAATCGAGTGCCCTGTGACCAGTGGAGTTTGCCCCAGTTCTACCTTTCAGCTTGGAAGAGCGATTTCCCGGAACGGTATCGGCCGGAAGTGGGAGGTCGGCGTGCGACTGTGTAAGTAAGTGGTGTTAGGTATGTTAGGTATTCAAAACAAGGTAATTCAGGACTGCCTAGCAGCTCCCATCAACTTGGTATTGCGTACATCCATACCTCACAGTACACAGTACACACTATAACCGGTCCCTCTCCGGCGTCGTTTAGTCACCATCTCAAATCATTCACTCGCACTCTTCATCCCATCTGTCTTTTTTCTCCGAATACTCCTGCTTGCTGACTTACCGTCACTCCCCTATTCCTCGCCTCGAATACACTGGCTGGAGGAGTCATGGCTACCACTCAAGTCAACGCTTCTGTCCTCCATGGCGCTCGGGACTTGCGCCTTGTATGTCGCTACAAGATCACCCGACTCACATCTAGAACCCAAGCTAATACACGCTTGCTAGGAAAGGCGGGAGTTGCCTACGCTTAGTGCTGATGACGTTCAAGTAGCCGTCAAGGCGACAGGTCTCTGCGGGTCAGACCTGCACTACTTTGGCCACTTCCGCAACGGCGACATCCTAGTGCGGGAGCCCCTTACACTGGGCCATGAGTCTTCCGGCGTGGTCACGGCCGTTGGCTCGGCTGTTAAATCGCTCCGGGTTGGGGACCACGTTGCTCTCGAGGTCGGCCAACCCTGTGGTAACTGCGAGCTCTGCCAGGGGAACCGGTACAACATCTGCAGAGAGATGAAGTTCAGAAGCTCCGCAAAGGCGTATCCCCACGCCCAGGGCACACTTCAGGAGCAAATCACACACCCAGCATCGTGGTGCCACAAGTATGTCTCCTGACTTCTGACGCTGTGTTCCTGTGCTGACACGCAACAGGCTGCCATCAGAGGTCTCCCTAGAACTCGGCGCCCTCGTGGAACCCCTAGCCGTGGCCTTGCACGCTTGTGATAGGGCACGACTCGCCCCCGGTTCGACAGTCCTCGTGTTTGGCGCCGGGACAGTCGGCCTCTTGTGTGCTGCCCTCAGCAAGGCCGTCAGCGACGCCAAGGTGGTCATTGCTGACATTCAGGAGGACCGCGTCAAGTTCGCCGTGGACAACGGATTTGCCGATGCCGCCGTCGTCGTGCCCATGAAACGCCCCGACACCATCGAGGCTAAGCTAGAGTTTGCGAAGCAGGTCGCCGAGATTGCCAAGTCAACCACCCATCATCACGGCGAGCCCTTTGGTGAGGTGTCAGCGACGTTTGAGTGTACTGGCGTGGAAGCATGCCTGCAAGCTTCCATCTATGTAAGTATTACGACAACAAACTCATCAAGAATCCAAATCTAATCCGACCATTCTAGGCTACAGCCCCCGGTGGCCGCATCATGCTCATCGGCATGGGCAACCCCATCCAGACACTGCCCATCTCGGCCGCCGCCCTCCGTGAAGTCGACCTCGTGGGTGTCTTTCGGTACGCCAACACCTACCCGCGGGTCATCGAGTTGTTGGCTAGCAAGAACCCCAAGCTGCCGGACTTTACGAAACTTATTACGCAGCGGTTTACGGGGTTGGAGAACATTCCAAAGGCTTTCGAGATGGCTGCGAGGGTGAAGGATGACGAGGGAAACCTGGTGTTGAAGGTGATGGTGGACATGTAAGCGATAAACGGCATATGCCCTCAGGAGCAGTCATAAAATACAAGAAAATCAACCCGAGTAAGGACCACCACGAACCAGCTTGGGACACGTCGAGTTTCTATTTCCAGGCCTATCTATAACCCCCTCCCCCCCCCCAACCCCTTATGCCGTTTACTACAACCCCAACCGAACCGTCCTGCCTAGAGCTTATCCGGGAACCCAAACTGCACGCCAAACGGCGGGTACACGAACCGCTGCAGCTTACCCTCCTGGGTCAGCTTGTCCGAGTACGCCTTCAGCAGCTTGACATCGTCCGCATCCAGGTCGATCAGCTTCCTGTTCTCCTCGATCCTCGCTGGCGTGACCGACTTGGCTAGAACGGTGCTGCCGCGCGCAACTGCGAATGGTAACAAACATCTGTTGTTAACACCGTACATCGTACAGCCCCCTTTTTCATCCGAGGGAGAAAAAGGAGAAGAAAGGAGAGGGCGAGAAGAGAAAAAGAAAACGCACGGTGATAACTCAACAACACAGCCGCTGGCTTGACGCCGTGCTTCTCGGCGATGGTGACGACCGGTTCGGCCGTGAACATCGGGCTGCCCGTGCTACCGAGCGGGCTGTACGCCATGATGTGGATGCCCTTCTCGTTGCAGAGGTCGACAATCTCCTGCTGCGGCAGAGCCGGGTGGTTCTCGATCTGGTTGACGGCGGGGATGATGGTTGCATGCGGGAGGAGCTCTTCGAGGTATCGTTTGCTGTACTAGAGAGGGGGAATGAAGGTTAACGCTGGGTGTTCTTTGTGCGTGTGATTGTGTATGACGGAGAGGGGGCGACAAACGTTAGATACGCCGATGGCCTTGGTTTTGCCCGTTGCGACCAGCTTCTCCATCTGCTTCCATGTGTCGACGTGGTTGTGGGAGTGGATGATATCGCGCTCGCCGTTGGGGAGCTTCGGGAAGCGGTCGTCGTTACCTGGGGAGGTTGGGTTAGCTACTGCCCTTCCACCAATGTGCCAAACCCCCAAAGGGCATTGAAAAAGGGGACATATGAGTACTCACCCTCAGGGTTCATCAACAAAGGCCAATGCTACCGATCTCGTCAGCCACCCTTCCCCCCTTTCCCTCAAACACCACGGCCGCTAAACGCACATACCACCAAAAACAAATCCACATAATCCAACCCCAACTTCTCTAAACTCTTCTGTAGGCCGAGCTCACAGCGCGTCGTATACGTAGCCCAGACCTTGGAGACAACAAAAACGTCCTCGCGCTTGATGCCCGACGCGAAGGCCTCGGCCAGCCCCTTGCCGACTTCTTCCTCGTTGCCGTAGCAGTACGCACCGTCGATCAACCGGTATCCCGACTTGAGCGCGTGCGCTACCGCGGTCTGTACCTCGCCTGGCCCGGATTGCCATGTTCCCTGGAAGACGGGGAGGGGGGTCAGTTGAGACCGTTATAGAGAAGGGCCATGTGCTTTGTGCTTGGGACAGAGGAATTTCTTACCGAGGCCCAGAGCGGGAATGTCCTGGCCGGTGTTGAGCTTGAAGGTCTTGGTTGCCATTGTGACGGTTGTGCGTGGGGACTTGTTGAAGGCAATAGTGGTGGATAAAACAAGCTGTCTGCTACTCGGTAAGAGGCGTGTAAGTCGTGGTTTAAGTGGGAGTCCGAGGAGAGACGACAGCTTGGCGATGGCGGACTCTCGGTGTAGTTTGAGTAGGTAGAAAGCAGGTTACAAATCAACAAATCTCTTGATGCCGGAGAAACAGACCAAGACTTGAATCTGGAAGAGAAGATAGGTGGAAGCTCTGGCAGAAGCGCCTGGGAGGGAGTTGGGCCCGGTTTCAGGTGGGTATCTTTGCCATGGGCCCCGGCTAAATGTGCGAGTTATCACAGCTCTGAGCGGCGGAGCGGGACGAGGTTCGGTGCATCATATGCCGCGGTGAAGTGTGTATTTGAGTGCAGGCATTGCATTGCGTAAGATAAACAGGCAAGAAAAAGAAGGACAAGCCATAGTCGCCGTCGTCCATGGTGAGGAAAGGCGTTCAATGGCAGATTGGCAGGTTGGCAGAGTACAAGCAATTTTCCCCAAACTGATCGTCTCTCCCATCTCTCTATTCGAAGAATTGGGTGTTAGAGCGCTAGCTGCGCCGTCAAACTTCCAGAGGCTGTCTTCTGTGAATTGCCCCTCACTCAATGTCTCCCCGCGGGGTGGGGTGAATGAAGGCGGGGAGAGTGGGGTGGCGAGGGTGGTTTTGAGGTGATCTCTGGCAAGCTCGAGCCTCAATGCTGTGTGATAGGTGGAAAATTGATTCCGTTCGGGAAACACACTCTCGTCATATTTGTTGTCGTCACGTAATTACCATACACAAAGATTTACACCAAGATGCCCCTTTGACAACTCCGCAGCCATATATCTCCAGGATGGAAACCTTTCACATAGTAGATATGAGATACGGCGGACGGACAGATTCGTCTGATTCCCAGCATTCCTCGACACTGCCATCTATGCAGATACCAAAAAACACGGATACCTCCGGCCCCAAGAACATGAAGCAAAAAAAAAAAAAAAAAAAAAAAAAAAAACCTCAACCGATGCGCTAAATCCCTATTACGAATGTCTACCATGCGATAGTCTATGCTGACGCCGCCGCGAGTAGTAAGGGGAAAAGTTGTTGTACAAAAAAGAAAGGGGCCGCGCTGCCCATCTACCCGGCGATCAACACCCAGAGCAGGAAGAATACCATCTGGCGTTCAAAGTTAGCGTAGCTCGATGGGAAGATGCAATGCAACAGAAACATACTAGAACACCAAACATCTTGGCTATGAGCCATCGGTTGCCCGAAACGCTAGACCAGTACTTGAGCAGCTCTTTTTGCGCCCCCTCGACGTTGTCCACGACATCTTCTCTGTTGCGGGGTTAGCAAGTGTACCGGATAGTTTCGCCCAAGGCAAAGGGAACATACGTGTTGGCATCGATGCGCTGGATCATCTCGGATTGTTCGCTAACCATTGATGCGAGCTGACCAAAACTGTATATCAAGATTAGCCATATATATCATCGGAATTCGTCGCATTATGCCAGCCTACATTGACCCGAGCTCGTTAATGGTCGACTCGATCGCCTCGATGGCCTGCCCTCGTTGCTGAATGTACGTGTTTTGCCCCTCTTCCATCATCTGCAATTGCAATTGCTGGTCGCCCCCCATCGGGTTGAGAGAGATGAGGTCTGCGCCGGGGGACGGGGTCCCCCTACTTGGTGTGCCGTAAAGAGGGGATGCCGAGGGCGGCAAGGATGCGTGTGCGTGCTGTCCCATGGTTGATACGAATGCCTCGGTACGCGATCTTGAAGCCTGGATATTCTTTGTCCTAATCTCCAAGACGTCCTTGAAGTTTGCGCTGACGTCCCCCAGTTTGCCTTGCAGCAGCAGCAGAATGTTCTTGTTATTCTCCCCCTCCTGGTCCGGTTTCGGATGCAGTCGCTTTGATAAGCCCTGGAGGTTTCGGATATCTTCGTTGAGGCGGGATAGGTCTTGCTTGATAATAAACGTCAACTCGTTGACTTCGACCGGGTTGTCGTCAAAGAGCGATCTCTTTTTGGCCAGCTGTGCGAGCTTTTGGAGTTTTCCCATCGTCCCCGAAATCCCCCTGCCAATGTCTGCCGCATGTCGCGCAAACTCAGATCGTCGCGGCGGCGCCCCCCCGGACGCCGCATTCTTTTGCGCATCGCTTAGGAGTCTTTGCGAACCCGGCTTTCCCGTCCTGGTTTCCGCTGGGCGGCAGTGACAATATGGCGGAATTCCACCGTACGGTCGTTGATCGCAACGGCCATTGCGGCGGATTCGTCTATTCCTGTGGCGCGACGCTTGTGTGTCCCCGCGCGGTCGTTGCGAGTACGGGTGGCGGTTCTCGGTATCGATTCACGGGCCTAGGGTATGTGCGACGGACAGGTTGGTTGTAAAAAGAAGAATCGCGCAAGGATTTAATGAGAGGATGCAGAGGCAGAGCAGGTAATGAATCTCGTCGAAGAAATTGAGGTCGAGCGCGATGGTGGGTTAGAAGTTGACGATTTCTGTTTGATCTTGATCGAGGGAAACGTGGTGTTTGGCGCGCAGGGGGCGCTTGGACCTATCTCGCCCATGACACAGGGGCAAAGACAGTGCATGCCTGTCGCGGGAACTGTGCGTCGTCACTGTGGAGTCCAGGAACGAAACGAAACAAGCACACAGACACAGAACAGTCTCCAGAGAAGCCCAAAAGCCCTGGGTTTAAAGCCAAAAGCAGGCATGACTTTATCACAGAATTGATAACTACAGAAACAGATATTGGCTTGAAAAGCTGGCATTGATGCTCGTTTGGGAGGTAGATTTGAAGCGGGTTTACCAGCGCTTGCAGGCGGCACGAAGATACGAATACCTTACCCTACGGTTCAAACCAGGTTCTCAGGCACCAACCAGTGTGCCCCGGGCTGTGCCATGAGAGAATGGAGCCATCGTCAATTTGACGTTTCCGTGTTGGCGCGTGCTCTCCTGTGTATCGTCGTCAGGAACGGCATGGGTCCCCGCCGTTGCGCTGAACCAAACAGGGTAAGAGCCCCATGGTAAGGTACCTTAGGTACATTCGGTGGCCCCCTGATGTTTCCGATGCTCCATCCAAAGTCCGTTATTGGCTGTGAGTTCGCGATAACTCACTGCAAGCCATTTACGTTTACATACGTCCTCATAGAAATATGGTCGGAACCAGGAATTTTGTCTCTGGTCGTTGGGTTCCCAACTTCCCTGGCGCGTCGCCTTGTTGAGATTATGTTGGCAGGATGAAACAAATCTTGCCCCCGGACAAAATAACCAATTTAACGCGCTGTGCCGATGTGACTGAATGATCTTTTTTTGGCCGCTGATCATCTTGGCATTGCGCCATGACTTTGAAGCCCTGGTCCCTGCTTTTGGAGGTTGTTCGTCTCCGAAAAGCCAAGCAAGCAAGTCACCGAACGGACAGCTGCAACTCGAATTTCGGTGGAGACGGGATTGACGACAACCCGTTCCTTTGCCCCTTTCTACGGTTTAGTGCAAGATTTCTTCAACGAAATCCTAAGTCTCAAGTCCCAGACACCGACAGATCGACTTGTGAATTTGGAATACCCATTGGGAGCTCTGTGCTGTGGCCTTCTTCTTTGGCCAACCGGAATTAACAACAAACCAACCACACCACACCCGCGTGTTTTGCCGCCCACGTGCCAAGCCAAGCTGCAGTCGTGCATCATCGACGCCTCCTCTCCATTGTTCCTGACGGAAGTCGGAAGTGTCATAGACAGAGCTGGAGAGGCCTCTACAACCATTCGCAGCGAATGTAGCCTCGATATTAGCGAACAAAACTTGCCGCTATGGACGGTACATACGGGAACGTATTCCCCACTAGCAGGGCCATGTCAGTGTTTCCCCTCAGGTGGTCGCGGGACCCGAGGGACTAACAATCTTGTTTGTGAGCAGGTCGCCGAGTGCATCAACACCGAGCGGAAGCCAATACAAAGTGAATGTCAGTCGCCAAAAGACGAAAAAATGGGCCAACTTCAAGCCCCAAAACTACGACGGCGATGATTGGGGCGACGAGTACGACGACGATGAGCCAGCACCCGAACCAGAGCCCCCGCTGCCGGCAAAACCTATGGGGCCTCGCCTTCCCGCGGGGAACTCTCCGACGTCGAGGCAATTCGAGCCTGTGAGCGCGGCACCGCCTTTGCGAGCACATACGCACCAATTTCCAGTCCCGCCATCTGGCCCGTCACCGACGTCCGGGGGCCCTCCGCGGAGGATAACCGAACCGATCGGGTCCTCATCACAAAACCTGGCCGGGCACAGTTCGCCACAGTTGGTCCCTGATGCAAGGCGCGGCTCCCCTGTATCACGAGGCGGCCATCAACTCCCGTCGCAGCTTCCGTCTCGAGAGAACAGCACAGGCCTCGATGGTATCGAAGATGGGTTTGGCGGGATGCGGAAGTCCGGTGCTAGCCCACGACCAAGTGGTGGCCCCAAGCCGTGGACAGAGGGCCGGTCGGCATCCCCCTCGAGCGCAGGGCTGGCATCGCCCAACAAACCACTCCCACTCATCCGTCCAGCCGACGTTTATCAACGGATGGCGGAGGAACGCGAGAGGGAGCAGCAGTCGCGCGGGGCTAGCCGACCAGCAGAGGGCACCGCTGATACCCGGTCTGGGAAACCATCGGGATTGGAGGCCCAGATGTATGGAGGAGGGGTTGTGACACAATCCGCAGATTTGCCAGAAGCAGAAGACAACGGGATCGATAGGACACTAAACTATGGCGCTGGCCTAACCTCGATTCCGGAAAGGCAAAGCGAGTATGGTTTCGACGGGTTTCTCGCCAGCTATGGTGCCGAGGCCAGCGCAGAGCCTCCCGTGGCGCAGGGGCAAGACGCTGAAGCTCAAAAGTCTGTCCAGCCTGTTTCTCATGAGGATATCCGGCGTTATTCAACGAGCCCCCAGTTGCCAAATTTGAGTCGCATGTCGGGTTTTGGCGATGATCTTTTCTTTTCAACCAGTCTCTTCCCTGGTTCAGGACTACGCTCACCTCTTTCTGGCAGCATGCAACTGCCGACGTCGGACCAATCCATACCTGAGGGCGACGAATCTGCCGTGGCCGTAACGAAAGCCCCAGGCCAATTGGCCACGGCTCCTACTCCACAGGGTGTGACCTCGAGCACAGTGGCAACTGATGCTGGTGTAGGAGCTGATGCAGGCCCGTCGCCGCCCAACGAGCCCGACCAAGATCGGCCCGTTGGGCTGTCGCACCAGCCTGCAGCGCAACCTGTCCTCGGCGTTTCTGAGCAGCAGATACCCGCCGCAGACCTAGCTCGGGAGCCGGCATCACCCACCGAAAAACAAGCAGCTCCCTTGGCAGCCAGGCCGCAGCTGCCAGGTGGCTGGGTCTCTGAAACCCCGTCAGCGACCGTGGAAGTGGCCGCATCTTCCCCAGCCGGTCACTCCACGGAAACACTCGACAAGGCAGTTGAATCTCGCAGCGGGGTCGCTACTATTGCCCAGCCGAAGCTCATTTCGTCTGATACCTCGAGTCGCCGACAATCTGAAGTTGAGCCAGGTGTAACGAAGAAAACCGAAAAGGAACGCTCCGCTTCTGGGTCGCCTCATCCAGCTTCGCCGCGTGACTCTCCTCCGCTCCCATCGCCGAGCCCGGTTCCGAGTATCACAAAGTCGGATATCACAAAGTCGGATATGGGCGCTCGGCAGGCTACGCCCGAGGGCGTGAATCGCAATGCATCACCTGCCCCTGGCATCTTAGCTACGAAAGCTAGTGGTCCAGCCCCAGCGCATACTGAGATTACTCCCACGGCGCCGCTAAATACTCGTCGAGGCACGCCAGACAGCAACGGGAGTTCACAGCCGATTCTGTCATCGCCATTCCCAACGGCGCCGGGACAAGACCCTTCAAGTCACTCACCGGTCAAAGACAGCGACATATTGAGCGAGGAGATAATCAAGTCGCTCAGTCCCCCTCAGGCAGCGAGCAGTTTTGCAGACGCTACGGAAGGGTCTACTACCGCTTACCAGGCTGCTGCTGCAGACCCTATGCGGGAGAGTAGTTATCTCGGAGATGTGTATGGGGATTACTGGTCGACAGCCGAGGATAAGGCAGAACCGGGCCTGCTCATTGCCGGCAAGTCTATCAACGCGGAAAACGTCGCAGTTCTCCCACCTCTACCGTCCGGGTTGCCTGAAGCAAATCCAACCAGGCCGGCAGTGGACACACTTGATCCGAGCAGCCCGTCCTCTCCGTCCAATGCCGCGCCGGCCGAAGACTCGAACAATGAGCCCAAGAGCGCCCTCGGCAAGGGTGGGCTCAAAAAACAATTCTCCTGGGAAGCTTCCCCGCACGGAGTGGCTCCAGCGACCGAAGCCGACCCGACGGCTGTCTCACCTCCAGAGACGGAATCTTTGGTGGAGCAGAAGGCTCTTGGTTCCGGTGTCGAGAATGTTGGCCGCTTGGCTTCCGGAGTTAGTACACCGGAGGCTGAACCGAGGCCGTTGTCTCTTGCCCCAGAAGGAGAAAAGTCAGCAGAGGATCTGCGAGCTGAGTCTGCTCCGGAATTCAACCCTGCCGCTACGCTTGGCTCGAATCTAGGTTTAGATCGTCGAGTACAGTCACCCTCGTCCTCCTTGGATTCAACGGATAGGCAGGGCGATGACAAACGACTGTCCTTAGCAGAGGAAAAGATTGCCCTCCAGGACTCGCACCCGACTTTGGAGCCACATCCCGTCTTTGCGGGAAGCCAACAGGCGCGACAAGCCGAGCCCCAGGGTGCTCCTTCACCGAAGAACATCCTGGGTTTCCGGAACATCATGGAGTTGCCTCTCCCGACGGATCGTATCAAGCACTATAACGAGACGCGGTGGCAGTTCTCTGCCGTGGACACTGGGCTGGACGAATGGGTCCAGGCGATGATGTCCAAGCACCCAGAGCATGCCAACGAGGTGCTAACCCACCCCGGGGTGGCAGCACAAACCCAACAGGGCGGCCAAGGAGTTGGCCTGAGCGGACGGGGGCCGGCGCATTTGCATATACCCCCCAGCCTTCAACATGGCTTGAGCGGGCTTGGGCACTCGAGCAATCAAGTGGGCACGAAGGGCAAGGAGCTCTTCATGGCGGCGGGCAAAGCCGGCAAGGGACTGTTCAGCAAGGGGAGGAATAAGCTCCGTGGAACTGGCGACAAGGGTAGTTCTCGGGTTGATCAACGGAACAGCATTTATGGAACGGGAGGGACAGCGTTTAATTAATGTTGGGGGATTTTGTTGGCGTGCATGGGAGCACCACACCTAGATAGTGTACACGACATACTTATGTACAAGCACCAGCTGAATCTTTGAGATGTTGCCACTGGGTGCTTCTCATTCCGCAGTCTTTTGATTCTGCCTCTCTCACCTGCTCAGTACCTGCCTAGCCAGCCGGATTTCGTGAAGTAAAACCCCCCTGACGTCTCTGACAGGGCTGCCGCCCCGCAGCACGCACCACAGCAACGTTTCTGCGCCGGGTCCCGTTCGGACAAGGACGCGGCCCTCTCATTTCTCCACCAGCACGCTAAAAGAAGAGGAGGTTAAATTGAGGATGATCTGGTCTCCACCCCAGCACCAACATGGCGCAAGAAGACGAACAGGGCTCTCTCGGCTTCTTCACCCAGGCGCCGAGGAACACGGAGTGAAGCCAGGGCAAGAAGGAGGAAGAGCTACCTAGTTACTGCAGACAATGAAGTTCAACCAACTCGGCAACAGTGGCTGTGGGAATATGAGTGCACGAATATGTGATGAGCTACCTAGTTATGTATGAATATCCTCCCCGACAACTCAAACCGCGATAGCTCCAATTGGTGTTTCTCTCAACGGTCTAGGTGGTCAAGGTGGTCCCTAATCCAGCCCGCGTCCCTTCGCTCGATTTTCTCCATCAGGCTTCAGCCCAGTATCCGCCCGTCAGCAACCAAGGAACGAGCGCGAATGGCAGCTGCAGCTGAACCCTGGCTTGACCAATCATCCCCATCACACCTGCCCTGGCTTGTGCCTGGGGGTTGCGAGCTGGGGTGTCTCACCCGGCCGAGCCCATTTCACCTCTCCGCATCCCCAGGCTGAGTTTGTCGCCAGAAAATCCTCGAGTCGCGTCTCCCTCTTTTGTCCTCTCTTGAGAGAGAGCTTGTCGCCAATTCGCATGCCTTCGGCGGGCATTCACTTGTCACCCTACCCGCCCCCCTCCTCAACTTCAGATACGCCGGTAACTCGCGGCAGAGATACGACGATACATTCGTTTCGTAGTGGTGCTCGGCGACTTGCACACGCCGGCAGGCAGTGGTTGAACTGCGAGGCAAGCGTGAGCTTGACTCAATCGAGGCGTTGTCGCATCCGGGCCAATCGAGCAATTCGAAGCCTTAGAGGGACGGCCACGGGAAGGGGCCACCTAGACACTATTCGCACATTACCTCTCTTCCGCCGTGTGTAAAGCGGAGCCAAGTTCGGTGCTGCCGCCGACCTCGACAACCCAAAAGTGCTAATCGCGCAAAACTTATTTCGGCACAGCTCCGCGCAGCCGGCGCAACCTTGGAACCCCGCGCTCGTCGTCGATGGTTACAGTTGGATAGGCGGCATTTATACCTCAACAAGGCGGCGATTGTACGACTCTCGTAGTTCGTTCATCCGTGCCCATGGCCGCATACGCGCAGAACCCAAACTTCAAGCCGCTACCGCCGCCGGGCAATTACCCTCAGGGTTATCATTCCCAAGCCCAGTTCCAGCAGCAGCAGCAACAGTACCACCAGCAACAACAATACCTTCAGCAGCAGCAACAATACCAACAACACCAACAGCAACAACTCAGTCCCGATGGTGTTCATCGTCCCCCTTCGTTCGTAGGGCTCCCTCCTATCCGTCGTGCTTCCACCTTTGGTTCTTCTCTTGGCTTGACCGCTGAGGAGTTTTCGTCCACCGACAACAACAATAACAACAGCAACAAGAACAGCAACGCGGAAACCGCTGCGCGTCAACAGCTACACCCCCAATCCGCGTCCTCACCCCAAGGAGCCCAAGGCCAACCTACCATGGCCGCGGCGCAACAGATGGGGCAGGCCCCACCCCCTTCCCAATCGGCCGGCCAGTTTGTGCAGAACGTTTACCGACCAACTCAGGGCACAGGCGCGCAGGGCCCTCAAGGGGTCCAGGGACTGGCACGTCAGGGCCAGACATGGCAGTTGCAGGGCCAGAATCCAGGCCAGAACCAAGCCTTCCAGAACACCGCCTTCCAGAATGCCGTCATGCAAGGACAGGGGCCGTCTCAGACACCCCCGAGGGCTTTTGCTGGTGCGCCTGGAAATGCCCAGCTCACCATGAACGGCTCGGCGCCGCTAGCTGGCCAAGGTCAGCAATTTGGGCAAGGCGGCGGCCGGCCCATGATGGTTCCGCCTCATATGATGCCGGGCAACGTGTCCCAGAGGTTCCATCCACAAGGTGGAGGATGGAATCTTCAAGAGTCTCATCTGGCTGAGCCTCTCCAACCCTCGAGTCGTCATCGCCACTCCCCCAGCAATGCGTCGTCGCAACAACAGCAGCAGTCTTCTTACGGCCTCGACAAGGAGACCGGCGCCCCCATGACGACCTCCCCGGTACAGCGCCAGAAGCCCTCACAAGAGCAACAGACTCAACAATCCAACGACCCGACTACACCCCAGCCGAATCAAGCGATGCCTGCAAACCACCAAAGCCCGTCGGCCCAGCAACCCGACGGCAGCGCCTTGTCAAGGTTACAATCCCACCAGTCCCACCAAAGCGAGATGGCAAACCACGGCCCTCTTGAGGATGGACAGATGAAACGTAACTCGGGCGTTTTTTCTAGCATAAGAAACCGGTTTGGGGGAGGTCACTCGGAAGAAACCCGTGGTGCGGACAACGGCCCCAAACCCCAAGGTATCAAATGGGGGACGCCGCCTCAGTGGCCAGCATCATGTCTGATGAAACCGGACAACAGAGGCGCAACCCGGTCTTCGGGCCACGAGGCGGCGCCCCCACCCCGGACAACTTGTCTTACAGCCAGAGCAAAGACAGCATCATTGCCCACAGCCCCGGGGACACCTCTGGGCGATCGGATGGGACCGGGTGCAGCCACCGCCCTCGCAGTTTGCGCCCCCGGGGCAGGAAACCGACTGGGTTTTTCCACCATGGGTTCCTACACAAACGCCTGTTCCAGTCATGCACCATTCTTCCGCCTTGGTATGTTCGAGAACCGCG